CTCAAATGTTTTAAAATCTGCAGAGTATCTTAATTAATAACATAATTATTCACCTCTGACTTAACCTGTGTGTGTGTGTGTGTGTGTGTGTGTGTGTGTGTGTGTGTGTGTGTGTGTGTGTGTGTGTGTGTGTGTGTGTGTGTGTGTGTGTGTGTGTGTGTGTGTGTGTGTGTGTGTGTGTGTGTGTGTGTGTGTGTGTGTGTGTGTGTGTGTGTGTGTGTGTGTGTGTGTGTGTGTGTGTTACAGCCGATAACATACGGGCCTGCCGTGGTAAACACACCTGAGGGCGACAATAAGGACTTTAACGAGGCCACAGGTCACTTCACCTGCAGAGTCCCCGGAGTTTATTACTTCACCTTCCACTCTGTGGCCAAGGTAAAGTGTTTTTTAATCTGCTGCAGATCTTCGAATGAAAATAAATGTTTAATATACAATATCAGACATTCATTGGAGAAAAGAACAGGTTTCTTTATGTAATCTGCAGTGGTGGAATGTGCTCTTATTGTAAATACTGTGGTTCAAAAGTCAATTTTTTACCACATTATTTGCCAATGATTTACAAAGAGAAAGTCCTCATCAATAATGTGTATATCTGAACTTTATTGCAACAGTAATACTTTCTTTGATGCAACAATATTAACCATCTAATAAGGTCATATATTTAGTAATATACCACATATGGACAACATTTTTCTGTAGAATGAGTATTTACTTGTATTGCATTCTTTTCACAGGGCAGTATTAGTACTTTAACGGCAGTAAAGGATCTGAATACTTCTCACACTACTTGTGATAAGATTGTACATTACATTGTAATCTGCACTTCCATTCTTCAAACTCCTTTACAGTTGTTTTGTTTGTCTGTTTTAGGTGAGCATGTGTCTGAATATAGCGAGCCAAGCTTTGACCAACAGCCTGGGATTCTGTGATTACAACAGGAACACTGATCAGGTCAGTTTCAGAGCCACTTTTAAACGTGTTCCTTTAAAGGGGGCCAATTATGCTGATGTTCAGGGGTATATCAGTATGTAGTGTCTCTACTTTAAAGAGTCCTATCCTGCTGATGTTCAGGGGTATATCAGTATGTAGTGTATCTACTTTAAAGAGTCCTCTCCTGCTGATGTTCAGGTGTATATCAGTATGTAGTGTATCTACTTTAAAGAGTCCTCTCCTGCTGATGTTCAGGTGTATATCAGTATGTAGTGTCTCTACTTTAAAGAGTCCTCTCCTCCTGATGTTCAGGGGTATATCAGTATGTAGTGTATCTACTTTAAAGAGTCCTCTCCTGCTGATGTTCAGGTGTATATCAGTATGTAGTGTATCTACTTTAAAGAGTCCTCTCCTGCTGATGTTCAGGGGTATATCAGTATGTAGTGTATCTACTTTAAAGAGTCCTCTCCTGCTGATGTTCAGGTGTATATCAGTATGTAGTGTCTCTACTTTAAAGAGTCCTCTCCTGCTGATGTTCAGGTGTATATCAGTATGTAGTGTCTCTACTTTAAAGAGTCCTCTCCTGCTGATGTTCAGGTGTATATCAGTATGTAGTGTCTCTACTTTAAAGAGTCCTCTCCTGCTGATGTTCAGGTGTATATCAGTATGTAGTGTCTCTACTTTAAAGAGTCCTCTCCTGCTGATGTTCAGGTGTATATCAGTATGTAGTGTCTCTACTTTAAAGAGTCCTCTCCTGCTGATGTTCAGGTGTATATCAGTATGTAGTGTCTCTACTTTAAAGAGTCCTCTGCTGCTGATGTTCAGGTGTATATCAGTATGTAGTGTCTCTACTTTAAAGAGTCCTCTCCTGCTGATGTTCAGGTGTATATCAGTATGTAGTGTCTCTACTTTAAAGAGTCCTCTCCTGCTGATGTTCAGGTGTATATCAGTATGTAGTGTCTCTACTTTAAAGAGTCCTCTCCTGCTGATGTTCAGGTGTATATCAGTATGTAGTGTCTCTACTTTAAAGAGTCCTCTCCTGCTGATGTTCAGGTGTATATCAGTATGTAGTGTCTCTACATGTCTCCATGCTTTAATGTTCAAAAAGCTCTTTATTGTTCTCATACTGCCTGTGCTGCAGCACCTCTTTTCACCCTCTGTCTGAAACCAGAGCCCAGTGTGCTCTGATTGGTTAGCTGGCCGGCTCTGTTGTGATTGGTCAACCGCTTAGAGATGTCCCGCCCCTAACCCTTGTAAAAACTATTTTTGAAATAACTTTACAAAATGCTAAACATTTTCAGTTGATTATGGAATTATTTAACAAAAAGTGTATTATTTTAATTACAAAATAACAGCCAGTAATTATGTACACGTCTTTATAAAGGCTCTTTTATTGCTACAAAGATATAGCTTAGCGTGTGCTGACGTGAAGTTATGTGACCGTGCTGTAGTTCCTTTATAGCCCAACATTAGTCGCCTTTAGCTTAGCGGTGGTGACGTGAAGTCATGTGACCGTGCTGTAGTTCCTTTATAGCCCAACATTAGCCGCCTTTAGCTTAGCGGTGGTGACGTGAAGTCATGTGACCATGCTGTAGTTCCTTTATAGCCCAACATTAGCCACCTTTAGCTTAGCGGTGCTGACGTGAAGTCATGTGACCGTGCTTTAGTTCCTTTATAGCCCAACATTAGCCACCTTTAGCTTAGCGGTGGTGACGTGAAGTCATGTGACCGTGCTGTAGTTCCTTTATAGCCCAACATTAGCCGCCTTTAGCTTAGCGGTGGTGACGTGAAGTCATGTGACCGTGCTATAGTTCCTTTATAGCCCAACATTAGCCTCCTTTAGCTTAGCGGTGGTGACGTGAAGTCATGTGACCGTGCTGTAGTTCTTTAATGTCCTAGCGTTTTACTACTGGAGATTACATTCCTAAACGTCCAAATGTGCCATCCCTCCACCACTCATGTGTAATTACCTTATTTTCTGTGTCGTGTTGTGTTCAGGTGCTGTCGGGCGGCGTAGTTCTGCAGCTGACGGCTGGACAGAAGGTTTGGCTCGAGTCCTTCAGAGACCTGCAGACACCCAATGAATTAAGAGACAGTCGAGACAAACAGATCATCTTCAGCGGCTTCCTGCTCTTCTCAAATCCAGAATAAAGTGCAATCATTTACACAGGAATTCCCCAAATCTGAGACCACATAAAGCAGTTTTCAGAAGGGGGAATTCACCATAAAACAGTATCACAGTACAGGAATATCTCTGAACCCTTCGTACATGCAACTAAAATAAAAGAAGATTTTATTATTGATGGAGTGTGTGTGTGTGTTAATATTAAATATTTTCCAAATGTTGTTGGTGGAATGTCGTCTCAGGTAGAATTAAAATTGGAGGGGGAAGAATGAAACACACCAAAGCATATTTATGCTGATCAAGAAAGTTTAGACTATTAAAACAATTTTTTTTACATCAATTATTTTTTATAATACTTATGAACTGATACTCTTCAGAAGAGGTCAGATACACAGGCGCAATAACATGCTTAATCTGCACAAAAGTGAATCTTACCTTAGTCACTTTCTGACCTTATTAAATGATCTTATCCAACTTGACACAAAGTGCTCTTCTGCAAGGCACATTTCCCCAATGAGATAAAAACAAGCAGTTTCCCTTTACTTCCATTCTTTGTGCTAAGCTAGGCTAACCACATTCTGGATGTCATCCATCTCTGCAAGGAAATTACTGTTAAGTGGTGGAGAGTGAAGGATGTCTGTTATAAGCCCAATGTCCTTTTTTTCCACCATAAACTTTATTTTGTACAGTTTCATGCGACCCCTCTGTAAGTTATGGAAGTGAAACATTTTTGTTTTTTTGCACACTTCTTCTTTTTGGTAAACTTTTAACACTTTCTAACACCCTCAGTTGACCTCATGTTGCTCCATCAGCACATCATGGTGATATTCTGCATTTTTGTTATTGTCAACGAATTCAAGGAAAGGAAGAAAACAAAGACGTTTAAGACAAGTTTGTGTCTTAATAACATTCTCAGCCTGAAGTCACAAATATATAGTTTCGTCTTTCTCTCTTCTATAGTTCAATTTCTTTGTGTTTTTTATAATATTAGTTTTAGTGGAACTGAAGCATGTTGTTGCCAAAGCCTTTAACAAAAGATATCTGAAAAAGAATCCCCAAAACAAATTGCTTTATGAACTTAAACAAAGTGACATACAGTAAGAGCATTGTATGAATAATGACAAGATCAAGAGACATCAATACATAAACATTTTGAATTTACCATTGTGTAATGTACATTTTGATGGAAGAAATAACATGTTTTCTTTACAAGGATAACAGAAATGAAACCAAAAAGCTCCCTAGCCCTATTCCTCAAGCCTGTAATGTGACTACAAAATAAATGGTCAAAATAAATCATATAGTTTATTGTTGTGCACAGTAGTGGACAAGTACTATTTTATTGTTCTTTATACTTATTCTACTCCACTACATTTTGTACGTTTCACTCCACTACAGTTAATAAACACTCATGATTACCATCTACTGTTTACATATAAAAACACATTATATTTGTATATGATATGATGCAATATTGTACTGCCAATGTATAAGAAAAACAAAAACAAATATTCTCTCAATATTGACAAACTACAACATTTAAATGCTCTTACATGTATTTGTAAATTATTATATATAATATAATACCTTCAAAACGACCACTGTGCATAAGTGGTACTTATACTTCTGATACCTAAAGTACATTTAGATGACAATACTTCTATACTTCTACTTAAGTAACATTTTCAATCCAGGACTTTCACTTGTAGTGGAGTATTTTCAGAAAAAAACATTTCTACTTTTACTTAAGATCTAAGTACTTCTTCCACCTCTGGTTGCGCAGGATATACTATAGCTGATAAGAAGTTAAATACAAAGAAGAAACAAAAAATAAATGTGAGGACTGATTCCCTCGTGTTGTGGCAAGCAGAGAAAATCTGTGTCTCTAAAACTCTCAACAACTTCCCACAATTGCAGAACTGAATGCTAAGGTCTCTGAATAAATGATTCCCGACCTAAAGCTGCTGAATCGTGTTTTCTGTCGGCTTCCTCCTCCGAGCTGCTTCACTTCAGTTTTCTAGAAACTACCCGAGGTGCTTTTGATTCGTCTATCTACCCGTTCTCTACGGTGAGTTTTAACTTTTATATTTGCAATGTTTATGCGTTGATTACTTGCTTGAAGTCAATTACATGTATTACGGAAAGTGAATCTGGGAATCATTATGATTGTGTACTTTTGGGTAACTAACTGGGTTAGGGTTAAGGATGGAACTTTTATTTTCATCATAATCTGAACAATTAAGCAAATTATTCAATCAGAATCAGAATCAGAAACAGGTTTAGTACCAGGTCGGTTTTCACGTACGAGGAATTTGACTTGATGTCATGGTGCATACATAAAAAATAACATAAAAAAATATTCGCAATAATTGAAAATATAGTAAAATATGGCAGTATTTACATAGAAATAGAATGGAATAAAAAGGAATAAAATATTAAATTAAATGTGGCAGTAATATAAACGTTATAAAGCGTTATTAGCAGAGATTTAACACGCCTTGATCATTGATGTTCCTTTTTTCTTCTGTCCTTTATTAATGCAAGATATTTAAGATATATCTATGTATGAAAATTAAAAAATCTGCTGATAATTAACTGAAATAAGGTCGACTTTCCCTTCCTCTTTGTCTCCTAACGTCTATTCCTTTATTCCTTTCATCCCATTCCCTAGCTCACCTCCCAAATTCCCTTCATATTCAGTTTTATCATCTCCTCTCATGTCTCCTTGGCGCCTTGTCTCCTTGTCAGGTTCCTCATCATGCTCCATCGTAGGTTAATCCTGATCGGTGCCTTGCTGTCATTCGCCATTTCCTCACTGGTGGCCATAGAGTCCTGCCCGGCTGCATCGATGCCTGGGATGCCAGGTATGAGCATGAATGTTTGTTTATGTACAGTATATTGAGCATAGACTTTATTCAAGAAGTCACCTTGGAAGTCACTAATTGGTTTGAGGACTACAGTTTTTTTTGTTTTTTTTATTGACACAATTCTCTTACAAACCATCAAGGCTCATTATAACAGTCAACAATTTAAATTGGTGTTGATACTGTGCAAAAATACAAACAACATACAGCAAACAAAAACTAAAAACTATTTCTCCAGTTTTCTCCAATGTTTTATGATCACAATTCATCTCATAGTTGATGGCTTGGTTCCAATAACACTTATTATTGTTTTGAAAAGCCATGCAGAGAATTAAAAGGAAATTAACTTCTGAAACCAGAGTCGTTAAAAAAGTTGGCGGTCACTGTTGAGGTATGCTGGTTAAGATTGTTTTCTTTTATGATTTGCTCCGTCTTCCATCCTCAGGTATTCCTGGGCTGCCGGGCAGAGACGGTCGTGACGGGCAGAAAGGACTGAAAGGAGACTCAGGTAATTCAAATAAAAAACATTTATCCATTTTAATTTGACAATCTGGGACAATGCTGACTTGGTTAGCTCAAACAACTTTTCATACATATGATAGACAGACAGACAGACAGACAGACAGACAGACAGACAGACAGACAGACAGACAGACAGACAGACAGACAGACAGACAGACAGACAGACAGACAGACAGACAGACAGAGAGACAGACAGACAGACAGACAGACAGACAGACAGACAGACAGACAGACAGACAGAGAGACAGACAGACAGACAGACAGACAGATAGATAGACAGACAGACAGATAGATAGATAGATAGATAGATAGATAGATAGATAGATCCCAATTTGGGTATTTCTTTCGTCACAGAAGCAGAAGTGTTTTCAGACTTTGTAATAAAATACTTAAACAATTGGAAAAGAGAATTAACAATTACAAATAATATGAAAAAATTAAACATATTATATCAAATATAAACAATATAAACAAAACAATATACAATATTCTGGATAATTAAAATCAAAAGTCAAAAGTACAACAGGATCCAAAATACTACAGGTCATTTATAAGAAATGAGAAACTAAAACTGTGTAGCAGGCCAGAGGTGAGCAGTTGAAAAGTGTTATTGGAGAAGACAGGAATGTTTTTCTCTACCTCTCTTTGTACATACATAAAAATATATACATTTTTAATTAGATTATGCATTCCTGGGTTGGCGATGCAAGTGTTGTGTTTCTGTGGTTGTTTACAATGGCCTATTGTCAACGTCAAAGTCAAAGTCAACTTTATTGTCAATCTTTCAGTTTGTGTGTACAGACAGAGAGATCGAAATACCGTTTCCCACAATCCCAAATACAAAAATACAAATATATATAAAAATATGTATACAAATATGTATATACCTATATACACAATCAACAGACACAATTATACATATGCACACATTAAGATATTGATGGTGTTTACAGGAGCTGTGTTGCACGGTGCTCTCAGGCCTCAGAAGGGAGAAAAGGGGGATCCGGGGCAGATTGGGTTTGCTGGGAAACGAGGACAGAGCGGAGAACCTGGAGAACCCGGAGTCCCCGGGCACGGTGGACCTCCAGGAGTACTCGGAGAACCAGGGTGAGTATCAGGGCAAGGCACAAATATGAAAGAGTAATTAACTTTAGTTTTTTTTTAATTAACTTTTTAATTTAATTTAATTTAATTAAAAATAACTTTCAGGGCTGTTGGGGTCCAGCAGCAGGCGGCCTTCAGTGTTGCCCGGGGAACCAACTCACACCCGGACCAAGCCAGCGTGATCCGGTTCACCAACGTCATCACCAACATCAACGACGACTACAACACAGAGACCGGACGCTTCAGGTGGGAATAATTCCTGTTTGCTTACAATGTCCGATGCTATATGTCCAGGGACTACAGATTTAAAGAAATGTTAATGAATTTGCACTGTCCCTGTTTAATAAATGAATACAACAAATACAATTAAGTAACCCTAATCCTCCCCCAAACGATAACCCTCAATGTCTGAATCAAATGGAATTGCAATCCCTCTGAGCATTGTTAGGACATTTTATGCAAAAACAAACAAATATCAACTTCATGGTGGCACTACAGAAGGAGTCAGGTGAAAGTAAATAGGATTCATCTTCTAGGGAACATAAACATTTCTGTGAAAGATTATTGACATTCAATTATTGTTGACATTCAGTCTAGACCAAAAAATAAATGTTGGTCCAAACTTTGCTGTTGGTACGCATTTCCAAGCTGCGAAACCAGATTAGAAAAACAACCAGTTTTTAGTGAGTTAATCAAGTTTGTGTGTTTTAAGTGTCAGGTGTCCCAGTCAGGAACCGATCTCTGATTAATCTAAGACCATATGAATGTAGCACAAATGTTTTTGTCTTGGTTAAAAATGTAATTGGACTAAGCTTCTCCCTTTTAACAAGTTTCATGAAATTGGACTGGTAGTTTTCCAGTAATCCTACTTACAAACAAACAAACCTACCCCAATCCTCATTGGAGTGCAAGCCATTTTTCAAGCTTGCAGGGTTAAAATGTTCCATAAGTTTAATTAAGTGTGTGTGTTTTAGGTGTCGGGTGTCAGGGACGTACTACTTTGTGTATCACGCCTCTTTGGATGATAAACTGTGTGTGCTGATGAAGCTCGACCAAGTTCTGCTGGCATCGTTCTGTGATCATCGCCGCTCGAGGAGACAGGTATAAAACAATATATATATAATATAATATATTACAGATTTATACAACGTTTTGAGGTTTTCTAAGAGTTCCCACCTACTGTTAAAACTACATATAAGTTACTCACAGGGCATCTTAGACTCAGAGAATAAGGGATGAACATTTAATAGAGTTTGTTAAGCAGAGGGAAAAATTGCTTGTTTTCTTGTTTTGTCTCAGATTTTGGGTCAACCAATCACACCCTATAAAAAAAATGATTATAAGTAGCAGCAATGTCGACCTCATAAGATAAGATAAGATGAGAGCAACAGTTCGTCAACATTTCGTTAAAGTACAGAACATTAGTGAATGTAATTAGTGGCGGTACGTTCAACTCTGCAAAAAGATGCACCCTGTGATTCTAAATACAGAGATGGCAAAGGTACACACATCCTTTACTCAAGTAGAAGTACAGATACTCGTGTTTAAAAATACTCTTGTAAAAGTAGAAGTACTGACTAAACTTCTTTACTCAAGTAAAAGTAAAGAAGTATGGGCTTTGAAATGTACTTCAGTAAAAAGTACCCATAACTAGCAGCTGTTTTAAAGAGTACCTGACCTCCCTTTATATTAATAGAACAATAATGTCATTGTTAGCTAATGAATGTTTCCATGCTGAACAACGGCAACATGACAACGTTTTCATTGGTCCCTCTTCTTTAGAGAAGACCAGGAAATGATGGATACACGGATCGTGTTCAAATCAATAGGCACGCAATGACTCTAAATAATAATGATCACGCCACCAAACACACATTCAAACTAAAGGAACCAGCCTGTTTGGGAAATGAGAGAAGTAGAAAGTACAGGTATTTGAGTTCAACATGTAAGAAGTAGAAAGTAAAGGTATTTGTGTTCAAAATGTAAGAAGTAGAAAGTACAGGTACTTGTGTTCAACATGTAAGAAGTCAAAGTAAAAAGTCGTCAGAAAAATAAGAAGTGGAGTAAAGTACTGATACCAGACAAATGAACTTAAGTACTGTAACGAAGTATGTGTACTCCACTACTTCCCACCTCTGTCCAAATACATTAAAGTATTTCCTGATTTGCCCTCCAGGTGACGGCGGGCAGCTTGGCGGTCTACCTGTCGAGGGATCAGGAGGTTTGGTTGGAGACTAAAGACTACAGAGGGATGACAGGAAAACAGCAAGGATACAGCATCTTCTCCGGCTTCCTGCTGCACTCCCACTGACCTGCAGGACGGACATACTGACAGCCTTTTTCCTCATTATTAACAGATTTAAACTCCAAGGCTGAAATGTGATGCATTTTCAAGTCTAATGTCTATCCTATTTGAAATAAAAGAACATATTTGACATTTACCCGCTTCCTTTTCCTTAATCTATAGTCCCGATGTGGTTAAAAACAATGTATCAGATTATCAATCCAAACTTGTGCAAACAGAAAATATAACATTTACAAAATGCAAGAAAATTAAAGAGGATCTGAGAATGAAGAATTGGTATATTTGACAGGATGTCACTATAATACATTTACTGTAGATCAGCTCTTTGTTGATGGGCACGTTGACAACATTTAATATTTTGTGGAACAGATACTGACATGTAGATTTGGGTAAAGAGCCTTAAAAAACACTGCCAGGAAATCAGAGATAGAAACAGGAAGTTCAGATTAAAAAACAGAACAAAATGTTAATCTGAAAACATATTTTTTTAATCAGAAAGATTCAACAATGCTGCATCATCACTTCTTCATCATGGGAGATTTTCCTGACTTCTTGTTTAAGTGTTTCACTTCCTCTGATGGATGATTTGTTTTGTCAGATACATTAAATATGTGTAATTACAGGTTAACAGGAACAGAAATCAAACCTGCATTGTGAAGTTCAAACAAAAATACAGCAAAATAACAATAAATGTGAACAAGTAAAAGTTTCTAAATTTGTATGAAACCTCTTATTTCTAATCTACATTTCAGTGCTAAATAGTGTATATACTTTTCACTGCATTCCAAATGAGTTGGAAAATCAATTACATATTGAATCTTCCTCAATTATGTTACTCTTAAGTTGAATTTAATGCATTAGAAAAGGTAAACTATAATTTATAGTGTGATATGAACTCCACCTTAACCAGCTACAATATACACATATATCTTAAAGCATGAACACTACTAGTGGAATAATAATAATGTAACCCTTTAACTTGCCATTAGGTAGCCTATATTTACACTGTGCTATATCGTACCATTTGTTTATTACTCCAGATGCACCAATAAGCATTTCACCTATTTAGATGGTCAACGTTGAGCAAATCTGAACGATTTTATTTTTTTTTTAATGTTTTTAAATGCATATTTTACAACATATTTCTTGTGTATTACACACTTCAGAAACATTTGAGTCAGTGAAAAGTAAATTACCAAAACAACTGTGGAGTATGAAATACGCAAATACCTGACATTTGCATATACAGATGAACTTTTTGTCATTTTATTACTAGAAGTATAACATCCTAAAAATATATATCAATTCCAACAGAGCATGCGCCATTGAACTGTTTCACTTCCTGTTTATTTCTCCGGACTGAAGCTGAAACATCTCCGCTCTCCGTCAGCGTATCACTCCACCACAAGACGAGGGACTGCTTTATCTACAAATGGTGAGACTTTTGCGTTCTATAAAATGAAATAAAAACATTCGCATGTAGATATAGAGCGAGAAAATCATTTATTCAGATAGCAGCATTGGTGATAGAGAAGTGGACAGTTTTACGTCATGGTATTTTGAACAAAGTATTATTTGTTTTGTTGTAGAAGCAGATTTAGAACGGTTGTCTTTATGTCTTTAATTGTATTAATCTAATTTTTACTATATGAAGAAATCTATTTTCTTTAGCAATTTATTTATTTTAAAATTAAATGTATGATATCTTGTAGGCACTTCAGATACCCAAATGTAACTGCACGACCACAAAAATATGTAATTGTTAAATACCAGGTTTTGACCCCAAACAACAACTTGAGGTCACTTATTTCACAACGTGTGGGTTTGTAGGCACTTCAGATACCCAAATCTAATTTCAAAACCACTGAAAAATGATTTTCATTACACGTTCCCATATTTTCGGTAGTCCTCCTAAGTACCAAAAACAAGTGTGTGTGTGTGTTCAGGCCCTCCGGTGGCTGAGCTGCGGTACTGCAGTGTTTCTGCTCCTGCTCCACATCTCTCTGGTCGTCTCACAGTCCTGCTCCAATGGGATCCCGGGGATACCGGGCAGCCATGGGCCCAACGGCATGGACGGGCCAATGGGAGAAAAGGGAGACGCTGGTGAGTTGAGACAGAGACTTCAGAAACATTTGATGTTAATTCATGTTTTTCTTCTGGAGATCTGACTGTATACGTTTACTGAAATGTTTTCTTACATTTTACTGAGCTGGTACATTTTCACTCATTGTTTAACAAATAAACTTTATATTTAAGTTGCAATTTGGGAGAGATTTAGAGAAATGAAGAATATATATTTTTTTTAATTCACATTTTCATTGCCAAATGTTTCTAAAAAAAACACAAGTATTTTGACTGAATAAAGCCTTGAAATTTGAAACTTGACCTACGTTTCTCTGGATGATCAGGTGAGGCAGGACAGCCTATCAGGGGCCAGAAGGGGTTCCTGGGTCTCGGGGGCCCCCCAGGACGCCCCGGCCTGAAGGGGGACGGGGGTCTTCCTGGACATCCCGGAAACCCAGGCCGACACGGGGAGAAAGGAAGACCCTTCAACCCTTCCAACCAGCAGATATCTTTCTTCTCCTACAAACGGGTGATATCTCAAACTCCAGAACTCGACAATGCCATCGACTTCAACCGGTCAGTGCTGCTAAAGTTTACATTCAGGGAAATAAATGTTATGTAATGTAATTATAGTGAAACAAGTTTATGAGGCAGACTGTGATTAATAGTTTTTTATTCGCTTAAAGGCCACCTTTTTAACTAAAGTAACATTTAAATAAATAATAAATGTGTAAAGGATGCAAAGAGAGGTAAAATCCTTAATAGGAAAATGTAACAGTATGTTAAACTCTTCCCACAGCCAGATTTTGCCTGAGCTGGATGAGCAGTTTCGTGGAGAGGAATTGAACAACGGGACGTTCACATGCGCCATCAAAGGAATCTATTTCTTCAGTTATCACTTTTCAGCAAAGAGCAGAGTGAGTTCTTTTGATTTGCTTCATTTTGTCCTCAAGAGTCGCGAAAGTGTTTGAAAAACACTTACATTTTAAAGTTGTAGTACTTTTTCTTTTTCATACTTCTTCAATACTACTTTTTATACTTTCAATCCACTATATTATGGTTGCCAATATTTTAGGTTTAGGTCCTACCGTGGCTCTATTTCTGCAATGTTTTGAGTACTTTGTCCAACTCTATCCTATTATAATCGGTTAAAATCGATATAAGGTCCTGACATCCTTGAAAAATCTGTGTCATCTTAAGGAGCACTCTTTATCCACCCATTGTTGCACACTTTAAAGGTCTCCTGTAATGCAAAATGCACTTTATGATGTCTTTTATACATACATATGTGTCCCCGGTGTGTCAGGGATTTCACATTGTCAGAAAATAAAACCCTCTCTCTTTTCCTCTGTACACAAATCTCTAAAAACACACAAGAACAACGGAGCTGATCCAGATTTGCGTCCGATATGACGTAATATCAGAAATGTGGGCTGGCTTTACACCCACGGCCCTATCAGAAACGTCACTATCAGAAACAATCCACCCAATTTAACTTAGGAAAATGTATATAAGAAGGCTTTGTTTTGAGTACTTCTTCCACCATTTGTATGATCACTTATAGGTGTGTGTGAAGCTGATGAAGAACAGCGAGGATCACATGACGCTGTGCGACACGTCGGAGGGTTTCCTGGTGACCTCCGGCTCTGCGGTGCTGGAGCTGTTGGTCGGAGACTCCGTTTCTCTGCAGGCGACCAGGTTCAACAGCTTGGTGACGAAGATGGACAGCACCAGCCACACCTTCACCGGATTCCTGATCTCCCCCACCGGCATCTGAGCCACAACATTGATAAAATAACAAACTTCTAATAGGGGACATTTACAGCTATTAAATGAAATGTGTAAAAAGATCAGCAGAATTAATAAAGGTACACTGTTGCTTTAAAGAATGTTTTTGTGTGTGTGTTTTAGCACTTAACTACAAATGATGTGTGTTGTTGTTGTAATACCCATTGCATCTTCCTTTCTAATAGCTAAAGGTAAAATCTTCCATCATTTCCTACATTCATCGTATTTTCATGATTTTAAGGGGTTACAGTTGGCCTATATCTTTGATTTGTATTCATTTCTAAGGAGAAAGGTCAATTCAATTGTACTTTTTAGAATTTGGTTTACTATTCGATAAATAAATGTTATAATTATATCACATATAAGAACGTTTTAAAGACCAGCACACAAGCTTTATATTTACAGAGCCTTGTCCTGCATTAGAAGAATATGTGGTTAAAAGTAAAAGAAACACTTTATTTTGTAAATAAATAAAACAGGCAGAAGCGTAAGGAGGATACTACAGATCAGTGATAAAATATTTATTGTTGTGGTGTGTAGCATTTCCTCCAGAGGCTCACTAATTAAAAACTCTGAGGGATCAGGTGTTCTTCTCTCTGACTGATTCGAGGCCAGCAGCTCGTTAATTATCCATCACACAGGATCAGGTGAGAGGACTTTTAACCTTACGGCCGTGTGGTCGAACACAAACACAGAAACAGGAAGTAGAGGATCGTCTCTACCACAAGGATATGTAATTGTTAAGTTGTTAACAGTAGTGTTTTTGAATCGTATCAATCATACATCAAATAAATTATCTTATGAAGTTTAAAAAGCTTGGTAAAACAAACAAAAAAACTGTCGAATGTTAGTACCATTTTAATATACTGTAACTGAAAAAGCCTAGTTCATTAATTCTATAGTTATTTTAGTTAAAATCAGGATTTTTCTGACATTCTAAACTTCAAAACAATACTTTGTTTTTGTGTTTAAAACAACAGTTAACGATTTGATCTGTAAAGCAGGGTTGGTCTTTATTTACCTTTTCAGTCATTCAAAAGCATATACAGCATGTTTATACATTCACTAGCTAGCATAGCATAAAAGTGCTAACGTTAGATAATAATGTGCTAACATACTCTGCTAACGTTTGCCCCAGAAGTTTTTAGGTATTAAAAGTCTTCATCTAACCTCTCTGGGTATCAAGTAACACTTTTACTTCATGTTTAACCTCAACATTTGTATTTCAACTAACTTAAAATCCACAAAACAAGCCTCAAAGTAAGGAAATAGGGAAATGTAGTTGTCGGACCCTCGGAGCTGACTAATGCTGCGTTATGATTGGCCAGTCTGCATTCGAGGGGCGGGACTTAATGGAAGGTCAATTCTCAGAGATAACATGCAATTTAGCCCCGAAGAACATGCCATGATCTTGAAATGGTTAACAATACCCCAAACTCACAAAATGATATGAACTGTAGGAACATGGGGTTTATAATATAAAAGCATGTCCTCTCTCATTAAAGAGCGCCCCCTGGTGTCTGGAGGCTGAACTTCAGCCCAGTGAGTCGCTGGCTGACGGGTTGCTGAACACACCGTTTCTGGCGTAGAAGGTGCTCTTCACCACGGAGGATTTGGCGCGGGATGGAGTTTTGTAATCCAGAGTGTAGTCACCTGCAGGAAGTCAGACAGCGTTAATGTGGAGGGAATATCTAAGAGGATACAGAGACAATTTGGTGACCGCTCAATATAAACACTGACATATGTTTTTCATTCTTACCCTGTTGCTGTTTAAACTCCTGAATTTCCACACAGGGATTAATAAAGCTCCATTTTATCTTATCTTATCCTAATATGTGTTCCTAAGTTTAATGTATATTGGTTTAAACTCAAATAAACACAGATATACACTTAGATTTGGCCAGTTTCATCCAAAATGTGACAGACTAGTTTTTAATCTGTAGCATCAATATGTTTTTTAAATGTCTTTCATTGAACAATATCTTTACAAGCATTTCTCTTTAACCCTCCTTCTGAGGAGTAAGCAAATTCCCGGAAAGTGCTCCAGGGTTTGGAGCAACATTTTCATAGTGGTCAAACTGTCAGAATAACAACTACTGAATTTCCCCACGGGGATTAATAAAGGTCCATCTTATCTTATCTTACTTTGACGGCCATTTGATGCCATTGGGCCCATGCTTTTTGGGGCTTTCCCTCTCCTGTATTGTGTTATCAAGGCGTTTGTTCATGTAAATGGACTGCAAAGGCTAAAGTCATACTGTATCAGACACTACATACTGATATACACCTGCACATCAGCAGGATATGTCCTCTTTAACTCACCCAGCCTCCAGCCGTACTCCCAGGACGAGAGCAGAGGAAAGTCAAACTTCTCCTCGGGTCGGATGTTTCCTCGTCTCTGCAGGTACAGACTGCGCCCTTTACCCTGCAGAGGACACCAAAGTTACAGAATAACACAAACTAACCTTCTAGTTTATTTGTATTTACTTGCAATATTGTATCTGTTTTATTTGTTCGATGTCCTATATATATGTTGCACTGTTTGAGGAGCCTGTGAACTAAGATTTTCATTGACATATCTACACTGTAGCTAATGTACAAATGACGTAATGATGTAATAAAGCCTTGAATCTTGAATCTTGAATTGTATCCCTGTGTCCTGCAAGGTCAAATTACAGTTTCTCTCCATGAAACACGGTTGATTTGAATAGAGCATACAGTAGATAACAAAGTCCATTCTTTTAAGGTAAAGAGGTGAACATTTCCTATAAGTATAACGTTCACTTGACCTGCTTTAGGCGTCTAACATATACCCACAGCAGAACATGGCTTAACCACATACACTGACTATGGAGAAAAACCTAATTTAACCACTCTTGAAACATCCAAACTGTAACTTTAAGAGTCATTTTATTCATACGTGGTGCGATGAGTCCTGGTAGAGAGCGTGTCTGGTGTTTGGAGAGACTGGCCTCATGAGGGGGGAGACATTGGGAAGACCCTCCCCCTCCAGAGAGATCTCAGGAGGAGGGAGATGAGGAGGAGGAGGAAGAGGAGGAAGAGGAAGGTCGCTCTGCTTCTTGTTTGTTTTGGTGACAGGAGGCAGGACAGCCCTAATAAATGAAGCAGAAACACGAGAGGTTTAACCAAGAAGCGTCCATTATACTTACATCTGCAAAGACCCATGTTCAGGATAGGCTCACTAAAACATAAAACCCGAAAATGAGAAAGCATTTTAGCACTTTGGGTTCCTTTGTCTGAGCCTGAAATAAGGAATGTGGTTAACACAAGCTGACGAGATTTTTTTGCAAAGTTTCCCAGTCACATCTCTATTTCTAAACTTTTTGAAAACCCAAATAGAAGCTTTATATCCATTTTATGAAACCGTACTTTTTTAGTGAAACAGTTAACGATTTGATCAGTAAAGCAGAGTTGGACTTTATTTAGCATTTCAGTCATTAAAAAGCATATACAGCATGTTTATACATTCAGTAGCTAGCATAGCATAAAAGTGCTAACGTTAGATAATAGTGTGCTAACATACTCCCCAGAGGTTTTTAGGTGTTAGAAACCTATACATCTTCATCCAACCTCTCTAAGTATCAAGTGACACTTTTACACAATGTTTAACTTCAACATTTGTTTTTCAATTACCCAGGTTGAGCTCACTAAAATATAAAACCCGAAAATGAAAAAAAACATTTTAGCACTTTGGGTTCCTTTGTCTGAGCCTGAAATAAGGTCTGTGGTAAACACAGGCTGAAGAGATTTGGAAAGTTTCCCAGTAAAATCTCTGAATCCCATTGAATTGAACCAGGGAGATGCTGCCTTCAGGGTCAACCTACTAAAATACTCCTCTATTGAAAAACACTAAAAACTATGTTTGTAATGTTCCTGTATTTAAGTATGTGTAATGTGTTCTTGAGAGAGGAGGATCTTCACATTGTAGATTTGAGGATTAAAAAAACACTTGACCTGAGGTTAGGTTTCTGTTGTTGTATTTTATACTGATATTTATCAAATTGCACGGTACCTATGTAATAAACAATGTCCAACATTAACTAGATAGGCTGATCAGTTCAACATAAATCAAAGCTCACTGTGTGTTGCCGGGCAGATTAGTCCCCTCGGTGCTGATGTTTTGGGGATCGTTGGAGGGGTACAGGTGGCTGTAGCGTTTCTTCCAGGACAAACGGGTCAACATCTCCTTCTGGATCTGCTCTCTGTAGCAGTTCTGGCTCTGAGTCGTCAGCATCTCCTGCCAGAAAGCTTCATTTAGCAACTCTGTGTGACATTTAGACACCATTTGATATCTACTTCCATATTTATGAGACTAAATTTAAAGGCGTGTTGGGATTGGTGGACATTGTTTACCAATCCCAACAATCCATTAATCCATTCATATGCTCAATGCTTTTTTATTATAGTTTTCTTCAAATTGTTTTCTATCTCTGTTTTTAATTTTTTTTTAAGCTGCACATGGGTTCCCTCGACAAAAAAGCAATGGGATTTATATTTTGGAAAATAGCTCGAAATACAACACACTCTCACTCCATAAACGTCCAGGAGCGACGCTTGGTCAGGGTCCCGAGGCGTGCAGTTGGGACGCTCCTAGGCTCCTTCAGCTTCATAAACAGGCGCAAAGAGCTTTCAACTGATTGCAATGTATTCCCATCTGCGGCGGGATTTGACGCTTAGGGAAGCACGGCATTCGTTTGCGTCGGAGGCTGTTAAAGGCAATGTGAGCGTCCATTCCCATTGGATAACGGAGAATTGTACACCCGGAAGTAAGTATTCCCCTTACTGTCGATTGATTTGACAGTGATATCTCCACTACTCATCAACTCAAAAACACCAGATTATCCTTGTTAATTAAACGACATTTTTTAGTTTAGTTTTTAGTTTTAGTGTGTGTACAATGCTTTTGTCACGTTTTCCCCTTCAATTCTGAGAAACAAGTCGTTTTCTATGAGTTTTGGATGGCCGAAGACATTACATTACCCACAATCCTCTGTAGCAACCATAGACTGTATATTGCAACAGGCAACAGCTTCGGTTCATGTTAATTTACAAACTCTTCAACTACAACCGTAGATATATTTAAAAACATGTTAGAAGGCCTCACGAAATACTTTAATGTAAATTTAAATTTAAATGTGAAGGAATGTGTGTATATTAACTGTGGGTTTTTCTCTGGAAGTTTTTCCTTGTACGATGTGAGGGTCAAAGGACAGATGATGCCGTTTTTCTCATACTGATATCCCGCTATGCACGCTGGGATTTGGTGTTTATGCGATGTGAAATCCGAAAACATTTAAAAGAAATTAAATAATACATTATTCCGAGTGTGCTTGCTTTTCTCTTTGAAAGTCATCACATAACGGCATTGTAATACACGTTTCGGCTGCATTAAATATTACATATCTGTCATAGTTAACTCTATGTATAGCCCTGATGACAAGACTTCTAGACAAACAGGAACTGCCGCCAAAACTGAAAACTTGACGTGGATCTAAAATATATAAGCAATTAAACAACATCTTACATTTCTTTTCACACAATACGTCTCCTTGCAGTATCAACACTAATTCGGCTGACTTTTATATTTGATCCAATTGGTAGATAGGCTGTATTTACGCCATAACGTTGCACAGCTGATAGAAAGGGACACCTACTGGTTATATTATTATATTCTATTATTTATTGAGCTTTAAAACAAATTGATAACGACTCTATATAATAATATAAGAACAATAAACGGAGCCTCTCTTTTCCTCCCCCTCTTCTGAGAGCCCAGCAGCTGATCTCTGAGCAGGAGACGTGGGGACAGGGAGACGTGGGGAGAGGGAGGCGGGGCTATTTCATCGTTATCAGAAAATGATCGTATAGAGGCGTAGACACGGAGCCGTTTGCCCCCCCAGAGCGTTTCGTTTGCAAATCTATCCACCTTGGGATCCCCCTCGTTTGCGGGGTCCGTTTCTATCGTTTTGTTACGGCCTTGTGTAAACGAAAGGGCTAATTAATCCAATGTGTCTGTGTCCTCTTTGAAATGATTTCTGATAATCCATAAGCAATAAAACTGCTTTTTCTTTTCCAAATGTCAGAGCGAGAGATCGCTTCACTCTGGTGCAAACCTGCATGCGGGAAGCCCCCACCGTTTGTTTTCACAACGAGTGTGTGTGGGGGCCTCCCCCTTCGATTATATTGGCTCTAACGGTCAGAAAGAGGTGTCAACCATCAAAATCGACCAAGGGGGCCAGAGATATGAAAAATAAACATTTTCACCCAAATCACCTCAGAGGTGGAGTGGTTTTGGCTAAACCTCTCTAAAAAGGTCAAATGTCACTTGTTTTGCATCAATCTTGATACAGGGTACTTATTATATGTTGTACTTTGGATTCCTAAAGCTTTTAGTCTACTAACCCATCATCCAAGGGTAGTTTTCACTATAAGTAAAAAAGAATTTTTGGACGGACACTATAATTTACAGTTTTTTACTATGTAAAATCTGAATTTTCTTTAAAATAAAAAACATCTATATTGATTCTGACTTTTCTACATCCAACTCACAGGTTTATCATTGCTTTGAGAAAAAAGATGATTAATTTAACCCTTTTAGAAGGGAAGATATGGTCATTTGTTCTGGGAATGGCATTTTCGAGCCTGAGACCTGAAAAACAGGCTCAGAGCTTAACAGGTTAATAGGTTTTTAAATATTAAGAAGCCCTGAGATACAGTTTCGTGAAAAAACACCCCACTGCCCTGTGTACAGGGGGCTCTAGGGCTTAACAGGTTAAAGAGTTATTTAAGGCTTGGGGTGTCAAACTCAATTTCTCAACCTGATAATAAACCTGATTCTGAGTCTGATTGACCATGTCATCATCCTAACATTTAGATAACAGGATTGTTTTCTTTACATCTAAAGTAAATGACATTCAATTATAAATCAATAAGAGATGAAAAGAAAGCAATGTTTCACAAACCAAATATAATATGCGAAGGTCTTTATCTTGTCGTCTCATAAACAATGGGATCTGTAGAAAACTAATAAAACAAAAACGCCTTCACTGGAAAATGGAAAAACTAACAAACTGATCTCTTTCATGATTAAAAGAACAGAAAGTAAAATAAGCAAACACTTCACTAATGAAAAAAGGTGAAGCGCTGCGGCTACAATCCCATTAAAGAACTAATAAAATAAGTGTTAAAATCTTCATTTACCTCTGTTGGTCCTGCTGCTGAGCTGCTTCTCACAGAGGAAAAGAGAAGTGGATCAGATAACACACTGTAACGTAAGGAAACACACACACACACACACACACACACACACACACACACACACACACACACACACACACACACACACACACACACACACACACACACACACACACACACACACACACACACACACACACACACAACCTGTAACCCTAAGCCTAACCCTTTGTCTATGCTTTGACCTTTGCGAACAGCACCCTCTGTGGCCACAAATGGCATCTATGCAATATCATCAACACATTTGATTATAAGACTTTTTATTTTACCAAAAATTAAAGCAGTATGGCTCCACTCCTCAAACATTAGGAATGAAGGAAAACTAAAGACAACTTTGTATCGGACAAATATACCTTTAGTTTTTTTGTTTGCTTTTTTTGTTTTGTTTTGTTCTTTATTTGTATGTGAACCTGTGTACTCAAAGTGATGGAAAGTAAGTAAGTTAATTTACTCAAGTACTGTACTTGGGTACATGTTTGAGGTACATGACTTTACTTGAGTATTATATAACAGTAGTAGAGTAAAATATACTCATTTGTGGCCAGGTAAAGGACTAAAGGATATGTAGCTGGCAGTAAATAATGTTATCTCACCCTATACCAGCTGCAAAATTAAAATAATAGACACATGAATGCATCAATAGTTATAATACAGTAATATAACATATAATTAAGCAATAGCTCACGACAAGGCAGGCCATGGTATATGGTCATTATCAGGGTTCGAGTTATAAACTGAGCTCTATGGGGGTCTTTGAAACTAACGCGTGCGCACGCATGCATGCGCACACACACTCAAACTCAAACACACACACACACACACACACACACACACACACACACACACACACACACACACACACACACACACACACACACACACACCAATAATAAACATATGGACAGGGGTTACTATTTAAAAAAATGTGCAAATGTATTTGGGAACCTATCCATGTGAACATATTTTGGGGGTGGACCTCAAATCCTCTAGGGGGGTCCGGGGGCATGCCCCCTCTGGTAAGATTTATTTTTAATTTTGGAGTTAAATGCATCAATCTGGTGCATTTTGAGGGGAAAATAAAGAGACTAGATCTATGGAAACACCCATATGAAACAGATGCCACATCATGTAGACAGACAGTCACCCTGTGTGAGGCAAACCCACATTTGCGCAGCGTTGCGTTCACAATAGCCTACATTAAAAAAAAAAATCGCTAGGCCATCGGGAAACCTCCCGGCCCTCCTGATGGCCAGTCCGGGCCTGCCAGCAGCCCTCTACTTGCTACAAACTTAAATATGAAAACATAGCCGTGGGAACATGTTTCAAATGGGGGGTGCTGTGGGGATGACACCAGGGCCGGTTCTGACCAATTTGCTGCCCTAGACAAGATTTTTGCTTGTTCAATTATATCTTATTTTATCAGTTAACATTTATTTATTCATCCATATTTTTTAATCTCTCCAGTTTTAAAGGATATTGTTGGTTTACTGTCCTATAGTATACATGTGCCAAGAGCAAGGACTGTCTTAGGTAAGACAGCTTTTATGTGCGCAGCTCCACTTGCTTGGAACAATCTTCAGCAAGAATTGAAACTGAGCAATCTCATTCCTCTGCATGTTTTTAAAGCTAGGCTAAATGAAATGCTCGTTGATACTATGGGAACTTGTAAATGTCTATAACTATGCAAATGTAACCTGTAAATATAATGTATGATGTCCTTTATTGTTTTATGTTTCATGTGGAACCTATATGCTGCAGGTCTCCCTTGAAAAAGAGATATATGATCTCAATGGGACCAATCTGGTTAAATAAAGGTTTGAAATGAAATTGGAATGATTTCAAACCTGTTTTTATTTATCCTAATAATTATAAAGGTGTGCCTTGGAAATATTTGTTTACATAAATTGTGATAAAACCGTTTGAGACACACTGAGATAACTTAGACTAAAGTGAACTATCTAAACATTCAGAGTCCTTTACCTCACTGAGCCTCTCAGGGCAAATGGAAAATGTAACCGGGGTGAAAAGGGTGTTATCTTTACTTAATTATGAATGTGAACATCAAGGCCGAAAATTAGTTTTTTTTGTATTATATTTCCATTTAATCTTGTGGACGTGCAGATTCCCTGTCCTCCATCAGGGGGTGCTGCAACACCCTCATCACCCCTACTTACCACGGCCCTGTATGAAAAGGTTCAACTACGCACTCGGCTCGCGCAGCACGCTCACAGGCATAGATTGTGCAATAAAGTATTGCGCACCTTGGAGGTGCAGTGCAGGCATATTGTTATTCAAGAGATGCGTTGTTCTTTTGGAAAACATGTTTTTCTTTTAGCCTATTTACCTCGTTAAAGGTAGGGTAGGTAAGTTTGAGAAACCGGCTCGAGATCGCTAGAATTAGAAAATACACAACCGGAGAAAATCTGCCACTTCCTTATAGAGCCCCTCCTCCAACACACACGAACGCGCACATGACCAATGAGGGCACGAGATAAGTTTGTGCACAGATGGAAGGCTGACAGGCAGGTAGGCCATCCAGTTATTTTAGCCGGGCCGGCTAAAATGATTGGTCGTGCTTTTTACAGTACTACGGCTTCCACAGATGACATTTTTTTATGGATTTTTTGTCAAAGCACTTAAGATATTCATTGCTATCAGGATGTTAAGAGCATTCCATGGAATATAACAAAAAGTGTATCTCGAGCCGGTTTCTCAAACTTACCTACCCAACCTTTAACGTAAATAATACTCATTACATTGACACATGCATTATTTGTGATTAAAATAATGGTTGTTGGTAATGTATTAGCGACCCCCACAGATGTATGATTTCACTGCGTCCGTGGGAGCTCAGACCCCTCCTTATGGGAGCTCAGCTCCCATTGGCTCCCACATAACTCGAACCCTGGTCATTATAATCACAGCTAAGGGGCGTTGTTCGGCCCGACGCGAAGCTGTGATAAAATGACCATAATATCACGGCCTGAAGTGAGCTATTGCTTTTATAAAACGGTTACCAAGTGTGGCAATATGAAAGAAAAATGCACACTCCAATTGAAAAAGTTTTTATTAGTAAATAATGATGGTCAAAATAAAATAGTCCCGATCCGTTGCCTTCTGCACAAAACATTGTGCGAGGTGGTTGCTATGCAACAACACTAACAACAGCTAGCGAACATATTAGACAGACAGCGTTGATCGATTATTTGGCTATTTATTTACATTAATGTGTATGTTGCTGTTTATTGTGCAGCCACTGAAAAACTGTCCAGCATCAGTAGCATGGCTTACGTGGTTACTTGTATAGGCTGAGGTTGTTCTAGGCTGTTGCTTGCTTGGCGTGGCGAGAATATTGCTCCACTTTCTCCGGACCCCCAGATTTGGCTTCCAGTAGCTCTGGAGAGAGCTTTCGCACCTGAGGCCACTAACGGTCATCATTTCTCTGCTTTGTTTCAAGACCCGCATCAGAAAGCTTTTGAATGGTGGTACTTTTACAGTTGGTCTTCCTGCTCTTCACGTAGCTCTGCATGTCATCGGTTAGGTGCTTTCTGGAGATAGGCACTGCTCAATCCACTCCTCCATAGTAACCCGAAGGTCGAAGTTAACCTTAAAGGTAGGGTAGGTAAGTTTGAGAAACCGGCTCGAGATACACCTTTTGTTATATTCCATGGAATGCTCTTAACATCCTGATAGCAATGAATATCTGAAGTGCTTTGACAAAAAATCCATAAAAAAGTCATCTGTGGAAGCCGTAGTACTGTAAAAAGTACGACCAATCATTTGAGCCGGCCCGGCTAAAATAACTGGATGGCCTACCTGCCTGTCAGCCTTCCATCTGTGCACAAACTTATCTCGTGCCCTCATTGGTCATGTGCGCGTTCGTGTGTGATGGAGGAGGGGCTCTATAAGGAAGTGGCAGATTTTCTCCGGTTGTGTATTTTCAAATTCTAGCACACTCGAGCCGGTTTCTCAAACTTACCTATCCTACCTTTAAGTACAAGATCTAAGTACTTCCAATAGTATGAAGCTGCAGCGTCGGAGGCTGCACTCTCAGGACCGCACTCACAGGACCGCACTCACAGGACCCTAGTTGTTTTGCAACATCGCCACCTAGCGGATTGGATGACCGCAAAAGTAGACATTGTAATGCTTGTTATTAACCATCTAAAAATGCATGAAAATCGCAAAAGTAGACATTTACATGCATGAAAATATGTTTTTATTATTATTATTATATTTATTATTGTTTATTTTTTACAACAACAATTTGTTGTTAATATCAAATGTATTTTGTATGTCAGATGTAAAAAGATAGCCTTTTATATTTGTCTTATCAAATTTGACATACAACGTAAATATATATATATTGTAGTAATAATGATATCATCTATTTATAATTGTAAATGTATATTGTATATTGTATGTAGACATACATTTATTATATATATTTTTTTATTGTATTACACGTTCTAAATAAATCAAATCAAATGTGTCTTTGAAGAGGTGCTAGATTACTGAAAAACAACTGTTAGTGTGTTTATGCACCAGGCTGCAAAAGATAAACATGCAATTTGACCGAGAGGCATTTCAGTGCAGAATACATTTATTGGGCACAATTTCCACACTGTGGATTCTTCAATCTGCTGTTGGTCTGCTGTTGACCACCTTCTCCTGGGAGATATCCATTCTGGCACTCTGTCGTGGCACTCTGAACACTGGCTGAAGGGTTCCCTCGAGCAAGCTTCTGGCCTCCAGAGTCCAGAAGGCAAACCTTTGGCCATGCCTTTGAAACAATAAAAACAAGATGTAATCTAAAGTATTGCATAGGGAAAGGCTAAGGCATTGGTGCACAATTGATATGCATTAATAATCTCAACAGATATTGCCATCCAGAGTCTTACAGCTCTTGTTACTGATGGTCTACTGATCTGTAGATGGTTAACCTAATATAACTAACAGATGTTCTATTGACATGCTCCTGAGTTTGTTGACAGATTGTAGATAATCTACAAGTGACCCTCAAAATAAAGTGTTACTGAAATTAAAACACACATATTGTTAAGGGCTTTCATACCCTTGTATTTCAAAACGCTCCATGAGAATAATAATAACTGACTAAAACACCTCATGCAATATTGCAAAACATGTCAGAATGATGAGACTGTCTGATAAACAGTAAACAGGCAGTCAGCACAGTTAAGATTATTTACAATGAATTCAAATAGTAATACAATGACTATTAAAGAAGCATTTACACTGAAGACAGAACTTATATTAGGCTACTGCTGATTTAATGTAGCGGACAGACAGATCATATTGACATACTTTTGTCATCCTTTGAAGTTTAATTAATTAGCTGACTATAATTAATGATCAGGGTTGGGAAGTTTACTTTTTTTAAATGTAGGTTACAGATGACTAATTACCCTGTTAAAAATGTAATAAGTAATGTAACTGACTATGTAACTATTTGTATTGATATTCTAATATTAATTATGGTTCTTTTATGTTTTTTGTGAGTCACTTTGGATAAAAGCCTCTGCTAAATAACATAACCATAACATACGGTTTCATTAAACAAATAAACAAAAAGGCTAACAGTTGGTTTTGCAGCGAGTCATCATCATAGGCTAACAGATGACATTTAGCACGTGTTGCTTGTATTGCTGTCCAATTGAATACACCAGAATAGTTGTTAACTTTAAACAAACATGATTCACATTACTCACACTCTTACTGTAATTAGGGATTAAATCAACAATTAATGTAGGACACCTAGTTGGGCTTGCCAAAATCACGCTACAGTTTCATTAAACAAATAATCAAATATGCTAACGAAACTAATGCTTTTGCTAATAATGCTTTTGCCGAAAGCTATAGCTAACGAATAATTGTTTTTAGTGCCTTTAATACTGTTAGAAGCTATCATAAGCTAACAGATGTTTGTTTGTATTGCCTTAAGACTATCATAGTTAATGTTAGCTAATCACAATTCATTTCAAGACACCGGAATTGTTATTAATGTTAAACAAATAAAACTTTAAAAGCACTTCACATTACTCACTCTCTGCGTTGTCATTCATATTCAGGTCTCCTGCTCGCTAGGTGGCAGTGTCACAAAAAACTAGGGTCCTGTGAGTGCGGTCTCCGACGCTGCAGCTTCATGCTACTCAGTACTTCTCCCACCACTGTGTACCCCTGATGTCATTTATTTGTACATATATTGTACGATGCTCATATCGTGTATTAAATAAATACGGTTGAGAAACAAAGGTCAGTTTTCTACATCCTCTAACTACACAGCAGTACATTTGAGATTTTGAACGAGTTTCAAAAGTTAAGAACAAACTGAAATGTAAAAAATATTCAGGAATTATTTACCGAAAAAATGAATTGAATTAAAAATGTGCCTAAATGAGGAAATTAAATGAAAATGTAGAAGTCAGAAACATGAACATTTAGTGATCAAAGTACATTTTATTTTACAAAACACCTGGAAAATGCACATTTCCTTTAAAAGAGTTTGGGGAAATGACAAAATGATTCCCTGTTCACACATTCACATGATTTTAGCTATCAACTGTCTGGGAGCAAATATCAACACTTTTATTTTGTATTTAACATGTGGTTAGTTTTTCACCTTTGCTAATGTGCTTTTAGCAAAACAATGAATAAACAAAAGCACATATAAAATGTCAGGTTGCTTTTTTTAATGTGTAGATACCACACACTCCATGGACTTTTCTACCTTTCTTTACAGCAATATACAACATTAAAAGCTTAAGAACAGCATATTTTTTTAATTAACGGTAATTAATATAAGATTAATTTCCCAGTACAATCTCTATAAAAAGTAGAGACCTCTGGAAGACGAGTTGAATGCCAGAAAATGTACAATAGCGCTTGAATTGTCAGAAAACTATTTACACGATAATCTTCCTAAATATATTTTGACCTGACGAGAAGAACGACGAGCTTCTGTTTGTGAAGAACATTTAAAATGTTTGTTAATATTGTTTATGTTTATTTGTGTGGTCAGAAAACACAGCTGGATAAGATCTGTAAATCATGATGCCAATAAAGATATCAATTTGAGTAAAGGTCTGATCTTTTAATAATTAAACACATATTTGTGAAAACTTCCGTATCTTCAGCCCAATACGGTTACATTTTAGATTACTATCCTGTAAGATTCCCTAGAGTAACCACACACACACCTGAACACCTGCTTACCAATCACTAAAACACCTGTGAATTCACACACTCTAACATCGAGGTGTTCAGATGTATTTGAGGGTCAAGAAACCCTGAAAAATAGACTTTTTTTCAGACGAAAGATCAAAACCAGTGTCTCAGTTTGTTCTGATTCCTGATGTTGCTCAAATATCACCTTTCAGATATTACTCATGGTGTCTAATCAAACGTTTAGTATGATTATTTTTGATCAAACCAAATGGTATGAATTCTGCCATCTTTCTCTGCTCACGTTCTATAACCCTCAGGTCATAATATATTACAAAAAAGTCAAATGTAAGCCTCATTAATGATAAATTAAACACTCCTAATGTCTAGATTCATCACGTACGTTAAGCTTTTTAAAGTGGGGATGATTCTATAATTAAATGTAATGTCATTTAATGTTTTAACATGTTCGTTAGTGACTCTGTCGCTCGGACACGACGACCTGCAGGCGCTTCAGCAGGACGTCAGGGCTGTTCTCCGGACACGCCCTCTTACTGGGGGAGTCGCACGCTGATGACATCATCACGTCGCCCTCCATGGTGAAGGCTCTCTTCCTGCTGACCGACCCCTGACGAATCATCCGGTTAATGTCCGACAACTCCTGGAGAGACAGAGGAGGAGGAGAGAGTTTATTAGATGTGATGGACGTTGGTAACAAGTGTCTAAATCAGAAGACTAAACGATTAAAAGCCCAACATTAGCCGCCGTTAGCTTAGCGGTGGTGACGTGAAGTCATGTGACTGTGCTGTAGTGCCTTTATACAGAAATGCGCCATCCCTGCGTCTTCCCTATTGACAAAGGATTTGGTGTGTGTGTGTGTGTGTGTGTGTGTGTGTGTTTACCTTGGAGGGGCTGCTGTTGATCCTGTATGTGTAGGAGTTCGGTGTGAGGCAGGCTGTAGAGTTCTTGTGAGGAGAAACGTAGAGCGAGTGTCTCTGAGAAACCCTGCGGGGGGAGAGAGGCTGAGCGCGGACCGAGGGGAACGGAGAGAGGGGGGGGGCGTCCGCCTGCAAACACACACACACAGATTATACAAACATTATCAAGTGTGTTGATTTCATTAAGTTTTACCACAGGTTTCTGCTCTGCGCAGAGAAATGATTCTGTTCTGTTCCAGAATACTTAAAGGCTCTTTGAGCTGGTTTTCTCTCAGTGATCGTGCTGTTATGTTAAACGTTTTTTGCTTGTGTGTCATGTTTTGTGTCTTGAGATGTGTCTGTTGATGTTCCACATGGAGCTGCTGTGATGCAAGGAGCATTTCAGACTTGATCTGACCATTAAAGTTTTATCGTATCGTAGTTTTTCTCGTCGTACCCGGTTATCATGGACGGCGTATCTCAGCGCGAAGCTCTTCATCTTCAGGACGAAGACGCTGTTGTAGAACTGGATGAGGTCACCGCGTTCCTCCTCTCCTGATTGGTCGGCGTTGACTTCTCCTGACGCCTGATTGGTCTTCTCTGCCGCTGAAGAGACACACATAGACATACAGAGATTAAAAAAAATTGTGATTAAAAAAAAAAAACGAGGGATACAATTGTATAAAAACACAACGATAAAGACTTTAAAACTAATGCAACATGTGACAAGGCACATAAAAGATAATAATAATACGCTTCATTTATATAGTACACTTTAAAAACAACATCCTCTTAATGTGCTTCACAATGCTATAAGAAGAAAATAATAAAACAAATAAAATAAAAAGTTATCTAAGGTAATATGGTAATGTAAAAAAAAGGTTAAAGGAGAGGTGTCATGCTTTTCTGGTTATTACCCGTCCCCTTGTGTTATGTAGGTTTTTATGCATGTAAACGGTGTGCAGAGTCAAAACCCTCAAAGTACACCCTGTAGCGAGTAAAACTCTAACACAGAAAATACCTCCCCAAAACGCCTCGTTGGAGATACGTCACTGTCCATTTGATTCTTCCGGGTACGGCATGACATCATGCCGTACCCGGAACGAAATGGACCAATCCGTGAAGCCGTTACGTTACGTCCGCGGAGCCGTTACGTTAAGCCCCCGCTGATTGGTCCAAATTGACCAATCCACGGACTTCCTCACACACACATCTGTGTGCAGGGAGCAGGCAGCTCAGCTGATTTCTCCTCCCTGGCTGCAGGCTGATAACAGACAGTTGGGATCACGGCGAAATTCTCTCTGCAGACCCATTCTCTCTGCAGACCCTTTCTCTCTGCAGACCCTTTCTCTCTGCAGACCCTTTCTCTCTGCAGACCCATTCTCTCTGCAGACCCATTCTCTCTGCAGACCCATTCTCTCTGCAGACCCTTTCTCTCTGCAGACCCATTCTCTCTGCAGACCCATTCTCTCTGCAGACCCATTCTCTCTGCAGACCCTTTCTCTCTGCAGACCCATTCTCTCTGCTGACCCATTCTCTCTGCAGACCCATTCTCTCTGCAGACCCTTTCTCTCTGCAGACCCTTTCTCTCTGCAGACCCTTTCTCTCTGCAGACCCATTCTCTCTGCAGACCCTTTCTCTCTGCAGACCCATTCTCTCTGCAGACCCATTCTCTCTGCAGACCCTTTCTCTCTGCAGACCCATTCTCTCTGCTGACCCATTCTCTCTGCAGACCCATTCTCTCTGCAGACCCATTCTCTCTGCAGACCCATTCTCTCTGCAGACCCATTCTCTCTGCAGACCCATTCTCTCTGCAGACCCATTCTCTCTGCAGACCCATTCTCTCTGCAGACCCATTCTCTCTGCAGACCCATTCTCACAGCGTTTATCAACCTTTTTCTTACTCAATATCAAGCCACACTTATTGTTTTTACTTCGGATGTGACTTTGTGTGTGCTCAGGATGAGTTTGGCTGTGTTTGGCTATGTATCCTAAACAAGGAAACAACACCTCCACGGAGCTCAGCGCGATTCACAACGTCCCGACCAATCAGAGCACACTGTGCTCACAGGGAGGGTGGGGGCTGGAGCTATTGGAGCTACAACGAGCCGTTAAAGGCAGAGAGTGAAATTCAGTGAATACACGTAGTTTACAGAGATGCTGTTTGAGAAACCAATGTGAGTTTGGAAAAATGCACAGTATAAATCTATTCTAGTAGACCTCAACAATGGAATTATGATCAGTGGAAATGGCCATGACACCTCTCCTTTAAGAGCATAAAAGGTTAGAATAAAAAAAGTCGAGTTATCAATTACTGGGACAGGAAAAACATTTCTTTAAAAACCTGACTTGTGTCTAATGATTATTGTTTAACTATAAGGACAAATGCTTTCAGAATAATAAATAAATATTCATATAGTATGTGAGACATTTCTGTCTGTGCTCTTACATTCTCCTCCTGAGACAGGATCCACCTCCATGTTCTCGTCCGTCACCTGCTCTCTGAGAGTGTGACGCAGTAACACACTGCGGTACACCTACACACACACACACACACACACACACAATGACATCATGATAACAGAGTTAGATAAACCAGCCTTTAATTGATAATAACTAAATTGACTCTATTGTTAACTTGTGTTACTATGAATTGGTTTCTTAGTAATGGAAGTATTTCAGTTGCATATTCAGATAGTGTGACACAGTGTGTGTGTGTGTGTGTGTGTGTGTGTGACTCACATGGCTGCTGGCCTGTGGTTGGCCGCGGTAACACTTCATGATGTCGTGGAAGGTGTGAGTCTCTTTGGTGATCTGCGAGGAAGAAGGGAATCGGAGAAATTACAAAAACCGCTTCACATGCACTCAAGAATAATTATTATAAGTACATTGGTACAAGTGTGTGTGTGTGTGTGTGTGTGTGTGTGTATGTGTTTGTGCGTATGTGTGTGTGTGTGTGTATGTGTATGTGTATGTGTGTGTGTGTGTTTCAAGACTCAAGGCTTTCATTATAAACTGAAGTCCCAGGCTCCTCCAAGAGAGCAACATGAATATATAAAGGACATAATAAAATAGAAATAGTACAAGCAGAGTCTATAGTAAGCGAGTGTGTGAAGCAGGAGAGCAATGTGGAAAATGTTTTTAAATCTCACTTTGGATATGATGTACACGCAGCAGAGCATCAGCTGGTCGAGATGTCGGTCCTTCATCAGAGCCGTGCAGTGAACCAAAGCGTGTTCGAAACACGTCCAGATTTTCCCCCGCAGCTCCGACGACACGTCCATCTTCACACACAGATCCCTCAGACGCACACTGGCAAGGTGATACACCTACACACACACACACACACACACACACACACACACACACACACACACACAAACATATACACAGGAGAAACATGAAACAAGTAGGAAAGCAACATCTACTGAAGAAAAGTCAGAGGAAGTCTTTTTAATAACTCTCGTCTGTGAATGTTTGTTTAAGTTGCTGTAATTCAAATAAAAACCATGACGATTTCCTACCTTCCTGAAGAACAGCGCGAGGGAGCCGGTGCGCCGCGGGCGTCCGCTTCCTGTCGCCGGGGGGTCAGAGGTCATGGGAGGGGGAGGAGGGGGGCGACTCGGGGAGGTGGTGAGCAGGAACTGAGCGGTGATCGTACCGGAGGAATCACATGGCTGAACTGGGATCAGTGTGATGGTGCGGTCGTTATTCAGCCCTGCAAACACACACAGGAGATGATGATGATGATGATGATGATGATGATGATGATGATGATGATGAAGGGGCTCTGAATAACTCAAAGTCAACTTTATTGTCAATCTTTCAGTTTGTGTGTACAGACAGAGAGATCAAAATTCTCCCACAATCACGAATACAAAAATATATAAAAATATGTATAAAAAATTACAATAAAATCAGCATTTAATCAATAACGAAAATAAGTATAATAAGTAAAATATCTTAGGTCTTTTTTTTATTTAATGTTTTGTATAAATTCAAACATACCACACACTTCAGGAGAGACCCGTTAAACCTAACCCTTCAGGAGAGACAGGTTAAACCTAACCCTAACCCTTCAGGAGAGACACGTTAAACCTAACCCTAACCCTTCAGGAGAGACACGTTAAACCTAACCCTAACCCTTCAGGAGAGACAGGTTAAACCTAACCCTAACCCTTCAGGAGAGACAGGTTAAACCTAACCCTAACCCTTCAGGAGAGACAGGTTAAACCTAACCCTAACCCTTCAGGAGAGACAGGTTAAACCTAACCCTAACCCTTCAAGAGAGACCCGTTAAACCTAACCCTAACCCTTCAGGAGAGACAGGTTAAACCTAACCCTAACCCTTCAAGAGAGACCCGTTAAACCTAACCCTAAACCCTGATTAGTGTGTGAGTATGTTTTGATGTGGGTTAGGGTATCCTCTCCTTTGCATTTTCGGTGGTTTTGTAAACCTGGGTATTAGAAACAAGATGGCGTCTTTTTGTTGTTTTATTTCAGTGTTTGTTTACTTTTCGTTGTGTGCTTTTACGTGTATATAGACTTCTTGCACAGTTTTTTATTTGTATTTTATTATAGCTCGGGTCAGAAGACATATGCATATGACAATAATACCTTTAAAATCTTGAATCTTGTTTCCTACCTTGCAGAGGGATGCTGAGCACGGTGCCCCCCCCGCCCTGACCTCCGATCCTCAGGGTGCTGCTGGAGGTGAACGTCAGGCGTTTGGCGGGCGACGACATCGACATCGGGCTCAAGGTCGCAGTCAGCGGCGCCGGAGAATCATCGCCGAAGAGACGCCGCTTAGCGCTGCCTGCCGCTGGAGAGCTGTACCTGTCATGGAGCGACAGCGGGGAGGGAGGCACGTCTGGAGGAAGGGGACACAAGAGTTAATAATGACAATTTTGACCCAATGAGTAGGGGTTTAATTACAGTATATTCAACATTTTAACATCTCCAAAACTCCCCAAAATGGATATTGCATCCCCACTCTTCTTGCAAAAACAAAAAAAGTTAATGACACTTTATATATAATTGTATTTTTACCGAATGAATACGGGTTTAATTACATTATTAAACGTGTGTTTTATATATTTTAAGTTAGTTGTTTTAATTATGTTTTTATGCATTCAAGACATTTGTGTGTCAGTTTTGAGATTTCGTCAAATGCCGTTACCATGGTAACACAACGCTCGCCATTAAACACGGTTTTCTCATAACTCCAGTTAACATGCTCCAAATGGCCCAAAACATAACGTGTTTGATAACGATGCAGCCCTCAACACATCTAGGTGTATTATGGGGTGTCATCAAATGCCGTTGCCATGGCGATAAATCACTCGCCATCAAACACAATGTTTATGATACTGCTGTAACTCCCATGTACGTCGTCCGATCGCCCTGAAACTTCCCACATTTGCCAACGGCCGAGTCCTCGAGACACGTCGACGTGCGGACAACAGCCTGCGGAGAGTCGAAGACCCGCACAACGCTGCTTGCCGCTTTAATTATTATTATATTCGACATTTCAACAACTTCAAAACTCCCAAAAATGGATGTCATTTAATGAATATTGCATCCCCACTTATCTTGCAAAACAAACAAACAAACAAACAAGAAGGGTCGGTGATTCCTTATTTTGATGAACAAACTTATATATTTGATCCCTACTGAAATACATTGAAATACACTTGAAAAGAAAAGTGGTTTGAAGGCCAAAGATTCATGAGGGAAGTCTTAAAACAGGTTTAATATCTGGGAATTGAAAATAAAAGTGGTTTAAGGGTCAAAGATGGGTTAGGGCAGGGGTGCCCAACCTTTTTTGAACCGAGAGCTACTTTTAAAGTTGCCAGTCTGCCGAGATCTACCAGTCCAAATAGAGAGGCGTAGCCATTACTGACAGCCTACTACCAGGTAAATACACACTTCTACTTGTATAAAACTGACCTTTGTACGATGAATACTTCATAAAATACTGCAGATCCTTTATTTACCTCTTTCTAATCTACACACACACAAGTATTTAACTGAAGTTACACAACAGTGTTGTTGATACAGAGTTGGAGTTTATTCACACGTCACAAACTACAGTGGGTCATGTTTTCAAGAAACATTGAACAGTGCTGCCACATATGACACAGGAAAAAAAGACTCTGAACCCTTTCTTTGCCATTATATAAAAATAGTGTTGCTACAAAAGTATAAATTAGTTTTACTAATAAGACAACTCAGATCTGAAGCTACACAGGAATCTGCTGCCAGAGTGCAATAAAAAAGACAACATTAATAGAATCAACCCTTTTTATTTGTTGCATTTTAGTAGAGTATAAAAAGAAAGGCCTTTAAAATAGGATGCAAGCAACACTAGTTTCTTAACCTGAATTGATAATAGACTATAATCAATTTAAACAGAACAGATCTTAAAGTTTGCATTCTTATACCATTTTGTACAATAATTATAATGAATAAGTTCAAACAAACTAAAACTTACAGCTGATTAATAACGGTATCTAACTTGAGTTTTTATTATATCAAAAACCTGTTGAAATGCTACTGTTATTTTTACTGTCCCCAAAAAGCGCGTCGGCAGCCTCCAGGAATGCTTCTTTCACAACTTCGCCGTCTTTGAAAGACTTCATGTGTTTCGCAAGAACGTGCCTGACACGATAAGATGCTATGGTAGCAGCCTTGCTCTTGTTGTTGGGCCTGGTGAAAAGTGACTGCTGTGCATTTAGCTGTCCTTTCAGGTCCCTCTCCTTTTGGGAGCGTAGGGCAGAATTAGGAGGGAATTCCGTCTCGTAGCGTTTGTGCACTGTTTTGAAATGCCGCTCCTAAATTACCCTTCTTCGATAAAGCCACGCTCGCATTGCAGATGAGACAGATGGACTTTCAATTGGAATAGATACAAAAATAATCATCCTCCCACTCGGAGTGAAAATTATATATTTTGGGCTTTTTTGCTTCTGCCATAATTGCGGTCTTGTGTGTGTGCGGACTGTCACTCCTGTTGACACGGACAACGTCAGCTAACTAGTGCCCACCAGCCACGCCCCGACACATGGGGTCACGCCGGCCAATCACAAAGCTTTGATGCGTTCAAGTGCATTATTCTGGCACAGGAAGATTATGTTATAGGACATTAACGATAAAACTGAATATTGTTGTTCTATTTTTAGACACATCTCGCGACCGACTGGTTGGGCACCCCTGGGTTAGGGTAACAGTGAAACAGGGAACATGTGTTGTCTGGGGATGCAAAATGGATGACAGAGAAGGATGAAAGGAATATAAAACGGTTAGAAAAGTGTAAAAAAAACTATAATTTCACGGGAAGACTAGGGGGAGAGGAATGTGAGAATTTGGTTCGGGATATTTCCAAATATCTGGAACAAACTCCGAGAAACCTGCAGGTCCACTGCAACTCTGACTACTTTTAAATCCAGGCTGAAGACTTTCTTTTTGCCGCTGCCTTTAATTGAACTATTCACATCTCACACTGAACACCTGAACTCTCACCTTTGCGTGCGCTGCCCAGGCCCGATCTGAACTCTCGGATGCGGGGGTGGATGATGGGAGAGAGGGCGAGCATCGGGAGGTGAGACTGAACTCCACTGGAGCCAGGACCTGAACCGGTGTCCAGACTGGAGGAGAAATTCACCTGGAGGGAGAGAAGAAGATGATGAGAAGGTGAAACAAGGAGAAAGTTAAATAAAGGCAGGGAAAGGAAGGAGCACAAAGAGAGAATACCTCGATGCTGGTTCTGATTAGTGTTAAACGCTTTGGGTAAAAGAGTCTGCTCAATGAATGAAATGTTATAATTATAGTTGTTGTCAGTGCAAAGTAATGCAAAGACTGCACTAGGGGAAAGGATAAAGACATTCTACCATGTTGAAAGAAGTTGATTTTGATATAGAAACATTTGCTTGTATCAACAACAGGAATTATGAACAAATAACAAACAAAATGTCTAAGAAAAAATACTATAAAATGTTGCTAACAACCCGTTTTTGCACAGTTTGATCCAGACAGCATTTCAAGTGTTTCCTTGTTTATAAATATAAATATGTGTGTGTGTTCCTGCTGACCTCCTCCACTGTGGGCACTTTGTTGCCTGCAGCCTGCAAGACGCTCCAGAGGGCAGAGTCTGCGCTCCAGGCCCTGCTGTCGAGCACCTGCTCCTCGATCAGGTTCAGGTGCTTCACCATGTCTCTGGAGAGGCCTTCCTCCGAGCGGATGAACACCTCGATCACCTGCACACACACAGGAAACACCCACTTAGTCATGTACAAACTAATACGTAAATGAAGACAAAAGGACAAAGTTTAGCTTTAAAGGAGGTGAACGCAAGCGAGATTTGCAGCTTTTATATTTGACTCTGCTGCACGCTTAATTAGTTTATATGGTGTTTAAACACGGTGTTTAATGAAGGTTAATTAACAGTTTTAGTTTGATGTTGTCAGTATAGGTTAAAGGTAGGGTAGGTAATTTTGGAGAAACCGGCTCGAGATCGCTAGAATTTGAAAATACACAACCGGAGAAAATCTGCCCCTTCCTTACAGAGCCCCTCCTCCAACACACACGAACGCGCACATGACCAATGAGGGCATGAGATAAGTCTGTGCACAGATGGAAGGCTGACAGGCAGGTAGGCCATCCAGTTATTTTAGCCGGACCGGCTCAGATGATTGGTCGTGCTTTTTACAGTACTACAGCTTCCACAGATGACATTTTTTATGGATTTGTTGTCAAAGCACTTCAGATATTCATTGCTATCGGGATGTTAAGAGCATTCCATGGAATATAACAACAAGTGTATCTCGAGCCGGTTTCTCAAACTTACCTACCCTACCTTTAAGATAATGCATCTCATTAATTATTTGAGCAAGGTTTGTAATGCCCTAGATAAACTGGAGATTTATAAGACATATATATATATATATATATATATATATATGTGATTAATACCAATTTCTGGGATCATTTTAAGCGAACACATGTTAATAATGCGGTGGTTAATATGTGTATTTTGTCAATTTTTGTGTAATTTTCCAAACGTTAACAAGCTGAAAACTCCTTGAATCAAACTGTCTCGTTTAAAGTCAGGAGCAGGAGTTAAAAAAAACATAAATAAGAACAAAAATAATAATCGAGTTCAGTCTGACATTTAGAGAGGCAAACACAAATAACTAAACACTGACTGTTTGAAGATGTAGGGGTGTGTGTGTGTGTGTGTGTGTGTGTGTGTGTGTGTGTGTGTGTGTGTGTGTGTGTGTTACCTTAAAGAAGTAGAAGGGTGTGAGTTTGAAGATGTTGATGATCCAGGGGAAGGTCCTCTGGGAGCTGTAGGAGAACAGAACGACCTCCAGACAACACGCCATCAGAGAGCAGTGGAACATATCCTGCTCCAATAACACCTGAACACACAAATACAGAAATACATATTAGGTATGATCACAAAGCACTTAAACACACCTGGAAACCCCTCATTAGTTGTTGTAGAAAAAGCAAGAAAAGGTGTACAACAAATATTTTCATTTTCCAATTCAACATTATTTTGTTCAAGTTTTGGTCAATTGTTTTTTCTTATCTTTTATTCTTAAACTATGAAATCAAATATTTACTTGATATTACATTTAATATACACTGAACAAAACTAGCTATTCTCAATTCTTTCAAAAGGTCTTCAAAACATGTTTTTCAGTTGCTTCCCCTTGAATCTGTTATTCTCCCATTTTTTCAAACAATGTTTTAACAGTTTTTCGTTAATTGATAACGTGCTATGACAATATTGATTTGAGTTTTGTTTATTTAATAACCTTTTTCCTGTTTTTATTGTATTTTTTAAGAACCCAGTACTTGTCTTTGATAACTGATACATAGATAAGATGATTATTACTATTATTATATATTATAGACATGCTTGGGGGCTGTAAATATGCAATATGGATGAATGAATAAGGCCAATAATATGCGTTTAAAAAAATAGAAAGTACCTGTCAGTAAGGTCTTTTGGTCAGACACAGAAATAAAACGCCTGTGTGTGAGTGTGTGTGTCTGCGTGTGTGCCATTTACACTCATGTCTTTTCCAGGCAGGCGCTTGGTCTCCTGCACCATGACGTTCTCCAGGACTTTGTAGTAGAGGATCTCTGCCAGCTTCAGACGATTCTCTGCAAAATCTGAAGACAAGAGAAAGTTTATTTATTAAGACAAGCGATTCTGCTGTGTGTGTGAGTGTGTGTGTGAGAGTGTGTGTGTGAGTGCGAGTGAGTTACCTATATGAGATCCGGGCATGTCCTCTGAGTCGTTGGTGTAATGTTCTTTGAACGTCTGTCCGAGGGTCTTGACTCTGGCCAGCAGCGACTCGGTGGGATTTCTGGAGCACGACCTTCAATAAAACACAGAAAACTCAGTTACTATGGACACACACACACACACACACACACACACACACACACACACACACACACACACACACACACACACACACACACACACACACACACACACACACACACACACACACACACACACACACACACACACACACACACACACACACACACACACACACACACACACACACACACACACACACACACACACACACACACACACACACACACACACACACACACACACACACACACACACACACACACACACACACACACACACACACACACACACACACACACACACACACACACACACACACACACACACACACACACACACACACACACACACGTGAATGAAGACAAACCGACACAGTTTGTTAAAGCACAACAAATTATTGTTTACCTTACTTTAGAATAAAAAACAAAAAACCCAAATCAAGAATGTAAGAAAACTATCATTTAGGTCATTGGGTTTATTTTTCAATTTCAAATATTTGATGAACTGAAGAAAGCTCTTGATTAAAGTAGCCATGGTTCAAATGTGTATGTTGTGCCTCTCTAATTGAAATATTATTTTTTAAAGAAAAATGTAATTATCCAGAATTTTTTATATTGGATTATACTATGTTTCATTTTAATTGTAATTGTTAACTCTATTGCACTTTTTAGGTATTTATCATGTGCACATTAGCTACAGCACACATGTCCAACTCAAGGCCGGCGGGCCAAATCCAGAACAAAGTAGGAGATACCTTACAGACAGGCGAAAGCTTTACCAGATCTACTTAAGATATGCAAAAGAAAAGCCATCAAGCAAGAAAAATAACAGGAGATGAGAATAAATATCATCCATTATTCACGATATCTATGCCAGTGGCTTTTAACGCTGACATCTTAAAAGTCACTCTCTCCCTTGTTGGGAATAATAATGGCAATACAAAAACATGTCTCAGATTTTTTTATCCAGAGCTGGGGAAAAGAGCAGGCATTTGGAAATGAAAGATATATCATACATGTTCTTTTGTGTCTTACATTATGCTTAGACCACACATGTGTCAAACTCAAGGCCCGGGGGCCAAATCAGGCCCTTGGTGGATTTAATTTCAGCCCGCAGGATAATTTCTAATTACTATTAGATCTGGCCCGTCGGTATATTGCACGCACACCTTCACTCCATCCTGAGGGTCTCCTCAGCTCAGAGCCTGACCCCAAACATTGATGACCTTGCACCCAAGATGACATGCCAAGTATCTACACTGAGTTTACATGTTTCCTTCTGCACTTTTTCTCTCACGACAACAGGGCATGTTTGGTTTGTTCTTTGAGGGGAATAGTTTTTTTGAAGCTGTTGTTGGCCTGTGGAGAAATGTAATCATAAGAAATGAATGCAACTGATTATTTAATGTTTCATGTTGTTTTTATAGGCAATCATTTAAGCTTTGTTAGTTCCAGGTTTAATATGTGCAATAAGTTCATTTCAATAAGTTTTGCAATAAACATTGAACCAGTCCGGCCCTCGACTAGCACCCATTTTTTTATTTTGGCCCACTGTGTATTTGAGTTTGACCCCCCTGGGCTACAGTGTAGATATGGCAATGAAAAAGTCACAGGCTCCTCCAACAGAGCAACATGAATATATAAAGGACAGATAAAACAGTGCAAGAGAATGTTTTGAGATGTGCAAGTAAATACAAATAAAATAGAAATAGTGCAAGAAGAGTGTATAAAGACTCCCACCTGAAGACCTGCAGCATGTTTTCGCTCGGCGCCGTCCTCAGACCGGACACCATGCTCTGCAGCCGGCTGACACTCTGCGTTGCCGAGGAAACGGGAGTGACGAGCAGATCCTTCTCCTTCAGATATACCCGCCCTGTGAGAGGGGTGGAGGGGGCGAGAGAGGCCGACTAGAGAGAGAGAGAGAGTGTTTGTATTTTGGAATCTACCTTCTGTGCCTGTTGTAAGAGGTGTGTGTGTGTGTGTGTGTGTGTGTGTGTGTGTGTGTGTGTGTACCTTCTCCACGTGTTGCTTCATCTGACTCTGAGCGTTGTTTCGGCTCGCAGACGTTTCCTGGACGGTTTTCCTCGGCGTCCCGATTTCCTCGTCAGCGTCGGCACCGAGAAACACTCGCTCGTCGAAATCTCCCACCGTCAGAACGTACTCCTCATACTCCCTGTTTATGGCTTTGCTGCAAACAATACACACACACACACACACACATTGTTATGTACTGTATTCTTGACTGAACTGGAGTGTTATCATCCAGGTTTCTAAGTGGTTTGTTGGCTCAAAAGAAAACAAGTATAAGGGGTGAATGAAAGATAAATGAGTTTATTCATCATTACGTGCGTCTGGATATTCAAACATTATTGTGCTACATGTTTTTAAAGCACTTGAGAGAGCTGCTTTGGAAAGCTCTATTAATGTATGAAATGCTGCAGCCCCTCTGCAGTGACCTCTGATCTACTCACTTGTTATCGATGAAGCTCTGAGGGTCCAACAGCTCGGTCAAATTATCCTCGTTTCCTCTCAGGATCTGATCAGGGGAAAGAGAGTAGACAAAAACAAATGGATTAAAATGAGCGGTGTCATTTATTTTTTTAAACAAAAAAACAAAATTGAATTGTGGAGGAATGAAAATGATAATGGAAGGAAGAAAGGAGGTCACTTATATTAAAAACATACTTTAATATAATAAGTAGAGGATATAAACCATGGGGTGTTTCTCAATGTCGAGGAAGGCTCCTCCAGAGCCACTATTTTCAAGGATGCTACGTCATCGAATCCCGCCGAAGGACTGTTCCAATGTCCAGGATCCTTGGAATTCTACCGAGGACTGAATTCTTCGTTGCAGGAAATTTCGAGGATGCTCCAGTGCATCCTCCGCGGGCTTAAAATCCCCACAATGCTTTGCGCACGGACTAATTTCCAAAATCTTTGGTGGAACATTTAAGGCGGGGCCTCTCATATGACGCACACCTGCACACTTGTTAGCCTGTTCCACTCTTCGTCCTCCGAATGCCAGGAAGGATTCTTGCCTAGCTTCTGAAGGACTTGACTCGGAAGACATGTCCTACCAAGGAAGCGTCCTCGACATTCAGAAACACCCATGGTCTATAATATTCACTATAAACTCGGACACTGAAATACACAAACCTGGATGGTAATGTGTGTGTGTGTGTGTGTGTGTGTGTGTGTGTGTGTGTACCTGTTTCTGGTACAGTTTCTGGATGTATGGTTTGAAGTAGTGCTGTTTGATCCCCTTGGCCTCGACCACCAGGCCGTCGTGCAGCTCACAGAGACGCTCCAACACACAGGGGGGGGGCTGGTCCGGAGACACGTGGCCGTCAGCGCGGTACAGAGCAGGCAGGCCTACACACACACACACACACACATTAATAAAGAGCAAGTACACACTACACAAAAACTGTACATTCTTTTAAGTTTCTTACTAACATTGTAATCCTGCTGTTAATCCCTATTTTGATGTAACAGTAATCTGAATACACACATGTGTATATGAGTGCATTTTCATGTGTGTGTGTGAGAGCGTTTCATGTGTGAGTGTGAGAGCGTTTCATGTGTGTGTGTGAGAGCGTTTCATGTGTGTGTGTGAGAGCGTTTCATGTGTGTGTGTGAGAGCGTTTCATGTGTGTGTGTGAGAGCGTTTCATGTGTGTGTGTGAGAGCGTTTCATGTGTGTGTGTGAGAGCGTTTCATGTGTGTGTGTGAGAGCGTTTCATGTGTGTGTGTGAGAGCGTTTCATGTGTGTGTGTGAGAGCGTTTCATGTGTGAGTGTGAGAGCGTTTCATGTGTGTGTGAGAGCGTTTCATGTGTGTGTGTGAGAGCGTTTCATGTGTGTGTGTGAGAGCGTTTCATGTGTGTGTGTGAGAGCGTTTCATGTGTGTGTGTGAGAGCGTTTCATGTGTGTGTGTGAGAGCGTTTCATGTGTGTGTGTGAGAGCGTTTCATGTGTGTGTGTGAGAGCGTTTCATGTGTGTGTGTGAGAGCGTTTCATGTGTGTGTGTGAGAGCGTTTCATGTGTGTGTGTGAGAGCGTTTCAGGCATGTGTGTGAGTGTGTTTCACATGTATATGTGAATAACTTTGGATTTCATATGTGTGTATGAGATTTTTACATATGTTTGTAAATGATTTTGGTTTCAGTTGTGTATGTGAACGGTATTTCTGAATAATGTCCTTAACGGCCCCTCATATAAATAAACATTTTTTTGTATGTAACTGGTAAGCACACACACTCTCTCTCTCTCTCTCTCTCTCTCTGTACCTCTGAAGGTGGGGTTGATGAGGTCCTTCCTGTTGGCGCAGAGCAGAGCGTTTCCGAACACCAGGTCCAGGCAGCAGAGCAGCAGGTGGTACGAGTTCACCAGGTCGTCTCCGATCATACGGAAGTTACCTAAAAAACACACACAGTTCATAAACACAAACTTCAAGTATGGCACAAGGATGCTGCTCCTAGTACTAGACTCCTGGTACTAGGATGGGTTAAAAGCAGAGAACACATTTCACTGTGTGCTCTGCATGTGTGACCATTAAAGAGGGTTTCATCCCTCCCAATATTACATATTATTATATTAGAATACTTATTTGAATAGGTGAATATACCAAGAGTGGTCTGCAAACACTGCAATTTCACTGGCATCAGTAAAAAAAATCATACCGGGGCATTATGGGTAAGGTTTAGAGTCTTTGTACCTTTTGTGTAGACAAACAGAGTCCAGCAGAACTTGAACACATCGCTGATGTGACACGGCAACCTCCTGCAGAGCAAAGAAAGAGAGAGAGAAGTCACACACAGTTAGAAAGGGCGGAGTAAGTGTGTGTTGGCATGTCTTTAAAATAAAATGATATGTTGTGAAGATGTCGTTTTATAGAAACAATACCAAATAAGCGTTAGGAGTGTTTTACCTGAAGAAACTATGGGAACAGGCTGTGTGTGTGTGTGTGTGTGTGTGTGCGTGTGCGTGTGTGTGTGTGTGCGTGTGTGTGTGTGTGCGTGTGTGTGTGTGAGTGTCGTACCTGTGCTTCCTGCTGCGTGGCTGTCGAGGCGGCTCCCCCCCCTGCGGGTTTTGAAACATGTCCATGAAGATGGGCTCAAACTTGCGGAAGATGACGGTCGAGACCTCGAAGTTCCTCTCGAGTCGATCCATGCGCAGCCGGAAGTCCTGAGAGAGGCTCGACATGTCGGCCCACTTCCTCATCTTAGAGAAGAACTGGATCAGACTGAGGGAGGAGGGGACCGTCAAACAGAAGCCAAACATCACAACTAAAAACTACAGAAATATCATCCCACAAACACAACTCATTAAACCCCTCTTTAATGCTGCTTTGAAATGCACAGCTAGAAAGAAAACGAGCTGTGATTATTTAGTCCAATATTGCAATTGCGATATTGTTCCAGACATTAGAGAGTGATCATTTTGTTTTAAACATTAGTTACATTATCACTGAAACATGTAATTAAATATCATGATGGCGTCATAACCCTTAACCCCATTAAGAGGATCTGTACAAAACAAATATACTGTTTGTAGGTCGGGTCACACCGCCACAGTATTTCCATATTGTGATTTAGATAAAGTTTTAAATAACGATGCAGCCGTCCTGCGAGGACACTTAAACAAAGCGGTTTTTGGGGGGAATTAAAGAGCTTAATATGCGTGGCTTGAATAAAAAAAGACAGTCAATGATTTCAAGTTTGTCTGGAAACTTTTAGACCCTCTGGGCTACATTTATAAACATGTGAAGACTTTAAATTGCCACAGTGTTTACGTTTATATATGTGTGTACTCTTATAATGTAGTATGTGATGTGTATTTTATTGAATGTCTAAAGGTTTTATGAAATGTAAGGCTGTATATTTTATCCAAACAATCGGTACAAATGGTTGATAATTAGTTATAAGCGCTCGAGGCAGCAAATCAGTTTCATATTTACATTGGAAATGCGTAAAATTACATTGTTTACAATTTAAATAAAGGCAATACAAATAAAGGGTGATGAGATAAGAAAGCCTGTTATTAAATCCTTAATAAATATAATCGTTGCAGTATCAGTAAAATCCACAATCCTTGTTCTGAGATAGACAAACGCAACCAGTCTTTTTTTACACACTTTTTAGTATTAAATTGTGAATAAAAACATTATTTGGGCGAAAACTAACAAGACGTTAACTTAAGCTGAACTTCAGACGCATCCTCAATATTACATGATCAAATACAACTGCTTTACACGGTTCACTGAGAACTACACCTGTCTGTGTTGGATATGGTGAGTGTGTCACATGTTGTGATCATGGACCCCTCCTTTCTGTCATGTGATTGTGATGTGCTATATGTGACATGTATGTAGTAACGTGTGTTGTTTGCATTTTATTCTTCCCTTTTATCCTTTCTCCTCCATCTACCTGTCTTTCATCCTTTCTTTATAACTAATGCTATTGATGTATTGTGATTTTAAAAAGGTGTCTATTATCTGGGGACAACAGCTGGAAATTAGCAATGTTGGCTAAAGCCAATGGGGACTGTCCACGACACTATAAACCAGTGTGCGAAAAAGCACACGTCCCACCGTCCGGGACGTGTGCTTTACAATATCGGACAGGTAGATCTTTCAATTGACTTGTCCGGCGGACAAGTGACGTTTTTAGCCCTCATTTATTGAGAAATTATTGATAAATTCAGTTTACAAAAGGCAGAACTCATTCACAAATTGTCCGTGTCCGCCATTGTTCGTTTAGAAATGTTAGTTTCGGTTCTGCTTGTCGATTCCTAAGGAAATGCATCTCGTCGCTTTCTGTACTGTTAGACGGGGGCGGGGCGGTGTGGGACGTGTAGCACAGTGGCAGGGTTGGGAAGCAAAACTCGGTTCCGAGTAGGAACAAATAACAATTGTCCGGTACCGGGATTAATAAGAGTTGTGAGGACAGAAGGCGGAGCCCCGCGGACCGCAGCTCTCTCTCTCTGCTCCGGATCATCTGATCGCTGCACGATGCAGTTCAGCGTCTCTCTCTCTCCCTCTCTCTTTCTACACACAGTGGACCCGCTGCCCGTTTAACAGCCTAATCTTTGTCAAACTTTCTTATGTTCTTTCTCTAACACGTAATGAAGGTTATTAAGCGTTTTAGCTCCTACGTTGTTAATATTGACGCCATTTCCTTTATGAAATAAAGCAGCCTCCCTGTCTGTGTCCTCGCGCTGTCCTCACATCCCCGACCCCCAGACTCGGAGGAGCACAGGGATGTCAGTATTGTTTATGAAGCAGGGTATAGAAAACACATTATTGAAATGAAAATACTATTTATTTACTTTTACAAACAGTGAGCAGCTAGGCAGCTGCAGCATGTGTATTTCAGGACATGTGTAAGCATGCAAGCGTCTTTGAGTTGTAGAAAAGCGCTAGGCCTATAGGCTATAAATATAATGTATTATTATTATTAGGCCTATGTGTTGGACATGTGTGGTTGGACTCTGTCTCACAGGCAGGTTGCAGTGGAACATCAGAGGAGACTGGGCCAATTGTACATTCTCAAACTGCACCACATAGAACTAACTAAACAATGCAGAGATTATTTTGATATAATTTTATTCAATAACCGTAAGAAATTAAACAGTATGAAGTGATTTCTAAATATGAATACAGATTTGACTTAATGTTTTCATAAATATGTTTTTCTCCCAGTTTGTCATGGGACTTATTTTTACCCTCTCAAAAAACCGGAATCGAGAACCGAAAATAACCGGAATCGAAAAGCAGAACCGGAATCGTTAAAATCCAAACTATACCCAACCCTATGTGTGATGCAGTAAAATCTTACCGCTCACTTACGTTAGCGGTGTCGTAAAAACGTGGGAAAATTTAAAATACGTTGGCGAAGAAGAAGATTCCAGTGGCCCCAATTTTTGTCCATTCTGGACAAGTGAAAAATGTATTCGGACAAGTAAATTGCCAAACTCACTTGTCCATGGACAAGTACTCTCTAAAAACTTTTTCTCACACTGTAAACAAAATAAATAAAACAACTAAACTAAACTGAAGGGTTTATATGGTATGTGTTGTGTGATTTTCCAGATGTTTTTCATGTCTTTAACATCAGGTACGGCAGAGACTCACCTGAGTTTGGCGGTGCGGAGGATCCTGGTGAGAGACACGCAGTTTCCCTCCATCAGTCCTTTACCCACGGTGGGAGTGGAGCCCTTCCTGCAGGCAGCGTACAGAGAGCAGGCCAACCAGTGCACCACCTCCCCCTGCACACACACACACACACACATTCAAGCGTTATGCAAGATATAAACAGGAAGCTCTCCAGTCACCTATTGTTAGAAAAATCTCCCTGGTCCCCGGCTTGAGCTTCAATCTCAGGATCCATGTATTTGTGATCCTCTCCAGAATGGAAGTAGTCATCACATACAGAGCATCAACTAGTTCCTGAACAGTGTCCTTCACATGCTGATATCCAAGAGAGGGAGTTACACAGTCACAAGATGGAGGAATAGAAAGCAGTATTCAATGTTTACTTCAGATTAGCTCCACATCAGAAATGAGCATGCTTGTCATATGTCTATCTCCATAGAGGCTGAAGCATCATGTTAATCACATAGCTATCATATGCCTCAAACAGTCCTGATGCTCTTCTAGGTAATCATACATCCTGTCATGTACACAGCTACAGTTGGGATACCTTTGTTATCATGTTACTCTCATGTTGGAAGAGGACATTCAGGATGTTCACAACACTTATAATAATAAAGCCTTATTTATATAGCACTTTTCAAACAGCACGTGCAGCTCAAAGTGCTTTACAAAATGGCGACACATCACAAGTTAAAAATAAACAACAAGAAAATCACCTCAGATCAGATGTTAAGACCTTTACAGATACACGCAGCTAAATATAACATTTTAACAGGTTAAGAGACACAAGGAGGTAAACGGTAGGATAATAAAAATAAAATAAATAATGATTTATCTCAGAAAGATAAGACACAAGACAAGTGAGTCGATGCAACAATATGAAACACTATAAAATAATGCACTTCAGGCACACACACACACACACACACACACCTACATGTGCATCAAAGTTTAGATTGAAAAGCAGCTAAATATTTTAAGACCACAGAATAACAACGACCCCGTGACTTATAGTTCTGCTAAATTTGATTAATGACTAGAAAAGAGACTCTTAACGAAACACAGATCATAATAAGACCTATCAGATATCAGACCATCAGTTTTAAAAAGGAGATGATAAAGGAAAAAGCATGACCACGTTCTTAATCAAAATTGGTTCCTTGTCACCACTAGTGTCTAATTAATTGTTAGGAATATCAAACTGGTAAATGTCACTTTGTAGAATTACACAGGACCAAATCAGATGTTAGCTGGCATTTAGTGCCATATATCCCCCTCATTTCAAACCCTACGGAGAGGAGTTGTGATGAAGTGTTAGTAAAGTCATTTTGATCATTGAATCCCTGGCACTGTGTTGCCAGATTTTCCATTTCATATTATCCTTAATCAGATGAATCAATAACGAAGATAAATGGCAGCCCTATTAGAAAAGAGCTTTGTTATAAAATGCTTTTAATAAAAAGAGGCTTGTGGTTTTGCTAAATTCATATCACAGAAAGTGAACGCCTTTAGATTAAAATATAAAGATTAGATAGTGAAAGCATTCATAAGTGTTTGTGACCCAGGCCGCACTGTAGACGTTAGCAATGTGTCAGTAAATCATCGTGTTTTATTTATATTTAGCATTATTAAGCTGCAAAATAACGAAAGTTAGTAGTGTAAAATAATTGTCTCTGAAGTGTAAAGAAATTCGAGGAGAAGTATACAGTTGTTGAGTACCTGTAGTTATTATAAACCCCAATTAAAAACATTATTTAACATATTATTAAGTAAAGAAAGAAGAGTAAATGAAACCCAGTGACTGTGAACGTTAGTAATATTGAATCATTCTTATGTTTTTGTTGATTTATATCTGGTTTCATTAATCTGCAATCTTATAACTACAGTGAGCCAAAGGTGGTATACAAGTAACATTATTAAGTAGGTAAAAATGCCAAAGTGTGCATTATTATCTTAAATCCTAAAGTATTTGTTGAGATGAATATTATTTATCATTAATCTGAATCTGCAAAGTAGCTACGTTTACATATAGTGACTGCATTATTACACTCAAATCTATTATAATATAGTGTATTAAGTGTCACAACATAGAAAATACACAAGTCAAGTACAACTTCCTGAAAGTTGTATTTAAGTAGAGTAGTTAAGAACCACTGAATACATGATTTAACGTTATTAAGTAGATATAAATAAAGAGATTAGACATGACAACAATGGTCAGTCGAAGCCCTTTAACCCAGTGTTTATGTCCCACGCGGATCTCTCTGTTTACTTTACAGCAGGATAAAAGTGACGGGTAATTCACTAACTCTGTAGCCCTGAGTTTTACACACTAAAATGGGGTCTTTAAATATCCACAGAGGTTATTTAGAGGACATTACTGACCTCCAGGGTGTATGTGTTCCAGATGGCAGTGAAGTTCTCCAGTGTTTCTGAGGCTGTCTGCTCGTCCATGTTCAGTTCCTGGCACAGAGTCTCCAGGCTCCTCCGAACCGAGCTCTCCTCCATCCTGCCCGACTCAGAATCGGACGACTCTTCGCCCCGCATCCGTAAAAACAAAAAAAAACTCCAATAAAACCCCCCAAAACAACAAAACACGACAACAACTCGCTTCTCTACCACGACGTCCCGAAGCACTTCCGCTTACCATACCCACAATGCACTGCGTTGGCGCGAAATCCGCCGGCATCGACCAATCAGAAGGTGAGGTGGGCGAGGGTAAAGCGTCGCGTCTAGAGAGCTGTTGTAGACCAATCCCCTGCCTTCTACTGATCACGTGCAACCAGCCAACCGTTACTTAGCGACCGATGCTGACTACGGGTTCCGCACCGGAAACACTTACTTTTTTAATAAAGGGAGGCGTTTCAGGCTTTAATGTTCAAAAAGCTCTTTATTTTTCTCATACTGCCTGTGCTGTACCACCTCTTTTCACCCTCTGTCTGAAACCAGAGGTAAATAAAGGACTCCAATGTAGCTGTTTCAGTCAGGGGGGAGATAAACTCCAGGAACACAGGGATTGTATCCTTTGCAAACCATTTTCATGCACTAAAACCTCTAAACACACTACAGGAGAGGGAAAACCCCAAAGCATAATACGAAGGAACTCTTTAAAAATGCAAGAAAGAAGAAACACCATATATTTCGTTTTTGTCGATTTTATTTAATCAGGAAAGTTAAAAAGAAACGTAAACCCAGTGATTACATTTGTAGATTAACACTACTAGATTATTGTATAACAACATTGAGTACAATTTATGAATATAATCAGCAAAAGTAGAGAAACAAAAACAGCACACTTCTAATCAGATATCCTCAAAATCTACACAATTTCTTTTTATAATCTCACACAGATTAATTAATTGCATGCAGTTTATTACATTGTTTAATAACCCAAGGAGGTGAAAGCCCTGATGGTGCTGCATACAACTAAAGTTTGATTAAAATGGTACCCAACACACAAAACAAACATGTAGTTAATTATATCAAAAACAACTATTTCCACTTAATTCTTCATGTTAAAATGATTGTAATTGTTCTACAGAAAGTTAGTAATTATTAACCTGCACCCTCACAAACTTAGAAAGATCTGCTAATGAAGTGAGTGAGTGATTGTGTGTGTGTGTGTGTGTGTGTGTTCGTGTGTGTGTGTGTGTGTGTGTGTGTGTGTGTGTGTGTGTGTGTGTGTGTGTGTGTGTGTGTGTGTGTGTGTGTGTGTGTGTGTGTGTGTGTGTGTGTGTGTGTGTGTGTGTGTGTGTGTGTGTGCGTATGTGTATGTGTTCTTAGTGAGTGCTGTATCTGGAGTTGTTCCTGGTCTCCGTTGTCTTGATCAGCAGTTTTGGAGCAGGAGAGGAGCTGTTACTTTGGTAGCCATTAGTACTTTTAGTACCTGGAGAGAAAAAGAGGGGAATTAATTAATAAATAAAATAACTAAGACAGTCTGTCTGCTGCATAAATGTGTGCGTCACTTTTTGGTGTCCCCTGGTTTCCGTTGTGTTTTGAGCTTCTTGCAGCATTTTGTATTTGCAGCTTTTAGTAAACGCTGCTCATGTTTCCTGAAGTTGCTGAAGATGTGTGTTCATTTGCATGTGTTTTTATATTGCATTGTTTTTTAAACTGCAGGGCGTTTCTCCTAATGGTAATGTTTTGGGCCGTTTTAGTGCGTAAACAAATATAGATTTACTTAAAGCAAGTGAGAAAGTGTGTTTTGTAATCTTAATGAATGATCATTTTAGTGTGAAAACTTAAAACCAGAGTGCAGTGAAATGTTATTAAGTATAATTACTTAACGACTGTAATGAAGTGCAAGTTGTAAGGACATGTACTTTACTTATGTATTCCCATTTATACAGAAAACAGATAAATAATAATACAAACTTAAAAAATGGACACGTCTACACCTTCCTCAGTGTGGGGGCAGTTTGTTACTTACTGTAGTTGGTCACAGTCTGGATGTTGAGGATGGACTGATGTCCGAGTCTGCAGAAGAAGAAGAGACAGAGAGAGAGTGTTGGTGTGTGTTTTATTGTACAGAAAGACGCACACACTTTATGAAACTCCTCTCCTCCTCTCACCTGTCCTCCTCGCCCTCCAGCAGCTTCCTGTAGGTGGCAATCTCAATATCCAGAGCCAGTTTCAGGTTCATCAGGTCCTGCAGGTCAAGGAGAAAATCACACTTAACTTGCCATGCAGACCTGCAGCGTTCACACACACACACACACACACACACACACACACACACACACACACACACACACACACACACACACACACACACACACACACACACACACACACACACACACACACACACACACACACAACAACACAGACTATAACACTCCTTGTTGTGCAATACCAATTATGTGCATCGTTAATAACTGTGCAATATATTCCTAGCTGCTATTCAGAACTGTTACAGGATGTGTATTTTGTAAATTATGTGATATTTCTTTAAAAATATTGTATCATTAATTTTTTTTAATGCGTGCTTCTTGGGTAATATTCTTGGGACGAATAAAGGTATTCTGATTTATGCAGTTTATTTTTAGCAATATCCCAAAAGCCAATGGATAAATCCCATTGCTTTTCTCAGAGGGAACCAGGGAGATGCTAATTTACGGGTCTGCCAACAAAAGCACATCATCACTGCAGCATCCTTCAGATCTGCCTGGTAGCCCACATCCTGAATATACGTCTCTCTCACCTGGTACTCCCGCAGCTGCCGGGCCATGTCCTGTTTGGCTCTCTGCAGAGCGTCCTCCAGGTCTCTGGTCCGAGCTTTGGCCTCCTTCACAGCCAGCTCTCCACGCTCCTCAGCCTCCGCCAGCTGGTTCTCCAGAGCCCCGCGCTGAGAAAACACAACAACAACAACAACAACTCAGGCATGCTGGATCTGAAGTCTCCCCAAACACATCCGTGACTGCCCTGATCTCTTATTCTTATTATAGACACATGCATTTCCAAGCATCTGGACTACCTATGTTGTAAATGTATTATCTTTTCAATTTACACACAGCATCTATTGCACGTCTGTCCGTCCTGAGAAGCATCCTCCTCTGTTTCTCCTCGAAGTTTCTAACATTTTTCCCCATTAACTGGGGGGTTTCTCCCATTAACTGGGGGGTTTCTCCCATTAACTGAGGGGTTTCTCCCATTAACTGAGGGGTTTCTCCCATTAACTGGGGGGTTTCTCCCATTAACTGAGGGGTTTCTCCCATTAACTGGGGGGTTTCTCCCATTAACTGAGGGGTTTCTCCCATTAACTGGGGTTTTTCTCCCATTAACTGGGGTTTTTCTCCCATTAACTGAGGGGTTTCTCCCATTAACTGGGGGGTTTCTCCCATTAACTGGGGGTTTTATCCCATTAACTGGGGGGTTTCTCCCATTAACTGAAGGGTTTCTCCCATTAACTGGGGGGTTTCTCCCATTAACTGAGGGGTTTCTCCCATTAACTGGGGGGTTTCTCCCATTAACTGGGGGGTTTCTCCCATTAACTGAGGGGTTTCTCCCATTAACTGGGGGGTTTCTCCCATTAACTGGGGGGTTTCTCCCATTAACTGAGGGGTTTCTCCCATTAACTGGGGGGTTTCTCCCATTAACTGAGGGGTTTCTCCCATTAACTGGGGGGTTTCTCCCATTAACTGGGGGGTTTTCTCCCATTAACTGGGGGTTTTCTCCCATTAACTGGGGGGTTTCTTTCTCCCATTAACTGAGGGGTTTCTCCCATTAACTGGGGGGTTTCTTTCTCCCATTAACTGGGGGTTTTCTCCCATTAACTGAGGGGTTTCTCCCATTAACTGGGGGTTTTCTCCCATTAACTGGGGGTTTTCTCCCATTAACTGAGGGGTTTCTCCCATTAACTGAGGGGTTTCTCCCATTAACTGGGGGGTTTCTCCCATTAACTGAGGGGTTTCTCCCATTAACTGAGGGGTTTCTCCCATTAACTGGGGGGTTTCTCCCATTAACTGAAGGGTTTCTCCCATTAACTGGGGGGTTTCTCCCATTAACTGAGGGGTTTCTCCCATTAACTGGGGGGGTTTTCTCCCATTAACTGGGGGGTTTCTCCCATTAACTGAGGGGTTTCTCCCATTAACTGGGGGGTTTCTCCCATTAACTGGGGGGTTTCTCCCATTAACTGAGGGGTTTCTCCCATTAACTGGGGGGTTTCTCCCATTAACTGAGGGGTTTCTCCCATTAACTGGGGGGTTTCTCCCATTAACTGGGGGGTTTTCTCCCATTAACTGGGGGTTTTCTCCCATTAACTGGGGGGTTTCTTTCTCCCATTAACTGAGGGGTTTCTCCCATTAACTGGGGGGTTTCTTTCTCCCATTAACTGGGGGTTTTCTCCCATTAACTGAGGGGTTTCTCCCATTAACTGGGGGTTTTCTCCCATTAACTGGGGGTTTTCTCCCATTAACTGAGGGGTTTCTCCCATTAACTGAGGGGTTTCTCCCATTAACTGGGGGGTTTCTCCCATTAACTGAGGGGTTTCTCCCATTAACTGAGGGGTTTCTCCCATTAACTGAGGGGTTTCTCCCATTAACTGGGGGGTTTCTTTCTCCCATTAACTGGGGGTTTTCTCCCATTAACTGGGGGTTTTCTCCCATTAACTGAGGGGTTTCTCCCATTAACTGAGGGGTTTCTCCCATTAACTGGGGGGTTTCTTTCTCCCATTAACTGGGGGTTTTCTCCCATTAACTGGGGGTTTTCTCCCATTAACTGAGGGGTTTCTCCCATTAACTGAGGGGTTAACTGGGGGGTTTCTCCCATTAACTGGGTTTCTTTGGAAGTTTTTCCTTCTCCGATGTGAAGGTCCAAGGACAGAGGGGTGTCATATTCATATTCTGTATAAACTGTAAAGTCCACTGAGACAAATCCACTGAGCTTTATAAATAAACATTGATTGATTGATTGATCTCACCATGTTCAAATCACAAATCAAAACTAACCTCTTCAGAACTGCTTTTAATCTGTAATTAATGTTGTGTTTTATATATTTTAAGTGTGTTGTTTTAATTATGTTTGAATGATTTTTCACTCTGTAAAGTGTCTTTGAGTTTCTAGAATGCTACCTTAGTGTTTCCTGGAGGTTTACCTGGGCTTTGACGGCCTCGATCTCGCTCTGCAGGCGGCTGATCAGACGGTTGATCTCGCCCACTTCTCCCTTCGAGACACGCAGCTCGTCTCCATACTGATTCGCCTGCACCGACATCTGATCGAACTGAAGACAGAGGAACATCAGCTGCATCACTTTAAACAGAGTTGAGCCTTATTAGAGACTTCCAGTGACAAAAGTTTGGCGAACAACACATCATTTGTCCTTAAAGGTCTCCTATCATGCAGAATGCACTTTTTTATGTCTCGTATACATAAACATGTGTCCCCGGTGTGTAAGGGAACTCACAAAGTGTCAGAAAACAAAACCCTCTCCTTTCCTCTCCCAGAATCAGCAGTTCTCTAACAGGGCTGAAATATAATATACTCCTTTATTGTCATCACAGGTACAATGAGATGACAAGAGCTACTCCCTTTTTTTTTAAGGTGCCATCAAAAATACAAAAAAAAGAAACAAGAGACGTGCAACATTCAGGAGAAGACAACATACAAACAACAAGCATTCATACTTCAATATACAGATACAGTTAAAGTGCAAGGAATATATCTGTTTAAGTTCAAATAACTATGTTTGAATGTGTATATTTTGTGTCAGTGCAAGCTGGAGTTTAGTGCAGAGGGATATGAGCAGCGACGTGCAGTCAGTGGAGGCAGGGGAGGCAGAGCCTCACCTGTCATACTCCAATGTAACGGAAAAACAATTAAAGAAAAACTAAATAATAATAATAATAAAATGTCTCCACTGATCTTGTGTAAATGTGATTTATGTATGATTCCAATCGCATTTTATAGTCAAAATCAGCAAATTTGCCGAGCTCCGCTACGGGAGCGATGAGAAGTGAGGCAAGCACGAGCACTGCCTCACGTAAGCCCACAGTAACTGGCTGGAGCGCGGGCACTAATTTAGCGCGGCCACTTATTTTGTGAGCGCGCTCAAGCCAGTTACTGTGGGGTAAGGTGAGGCACAGATGAGCTCTGCCTCACCTCAGAATGCGTCACCCCACAGAAACTGGCTGGAAAGCGGGCCCTAAGCGCATGCCTGTTACCATCTCACTGTAGGTCACCAATGTAATGTATGTAGATCCCTTTATTACATTTATCCTCGCCATCCATAGTCTCTAAATAACTTATTTCACGTATATATGATATTTAGGCTCGCTGGTCTCTCGTACAACGGCAATGAAAAAATCACCAGGAGAGGCAGCCATAACCTCTGCCGCACTGAAGGGGGCGCACGTGAGCCCACAGGTTCTTGTTGCTACTGTTATTCTACCGCAAACAACAAACTAGACTTTTGAAACTACAGGAAGATAAGGACGACTTTTACAAAACAGTAATAGAGATTGTTGTCCAGAAGGATAGCATGGACTTCATCTTCAAGTCAATGTAAGACCACATTTGTAATGAAAATGGGATCTTACTAAGAAAGAACAATCCAATATTTAGATTTTGGGTATCCTTTTGTTGAACGGTCTGTTTAAAATGAATCGAAGCATCAGACTAAAAAAGCTTTTGAAAATAACAGAATATTTCGATTAAGGTCAAAATAGGCTATAATATTTGTAAATCTGACTCTGAAAGAGTCAGTGCCTCACCAGCCATGAACCTCACCGCACGTCACTGGATATGAGGGATGTCTAAAATGGGTGATCTGTTTGGTATTTTGAGCAAAACACTTCATAGACATGTTTTTTATGTATTTTTATATATCTGAGACCCATAATATATGCCTAAAAATAGCATGATAGGTGCACTTTAAGATAGAAAGAAAACATAATACAACAAATGCAATTGTAGATTTTGTGATGGAGATTCAAAGAGCAGAGTACTGAGAACGAGGAAGTAGAAGACCAATCTGATGTCGGACAAACTGAAGGTTTATCGAAAGGCTTTGCAAAGGAAAAACAGACAATATTGATACAAGCAGCACACAGAGAAAGTGACCACGATGATAACATGGCCTGATCGTCATGGACAAAGACACGTTGCAGATCAAAAGACAGATTTAAAGAAAACTGCTTCTTCTTCAGTAAGATGTCGGTCTTGTATTCTTCTCACTGTATAGTATTGCAACTTTTACTTTAGGAGAGGATCAGAGTAATGTCATCCACCTCTGATCATGTTACAAGTCTTTTTAGTTGAGCTAGTTTTTGGTTTCACTCTCAGATAACAGTTTGTCAACCCCATTGTTTCGGAGATGTGAGTTCAGACGGTCAAAAGTATAATATCTCTGTTGTTAAGTTTAGTCTAAAACCACCAGACTCAGGGACAGTTTCATCCCACAGGCCATAAGACTATTAAACACCTTTTTAAAAGAACATTCATCTGTTTGCATCTTACAGATTATTTCTCTAATATATCATATTCTATTTACTTCTATTTTGACTGTTCTTGCTCTATTTCTATTTTATTTGTATTTACTTGCACTCTTTTATCTGTCTTATTTACTCTATGTCCTATATATTCATGTTGCACTGTTGGAGGAGCCTGTGACTTCAGTTTTTCATTGATATCTACACTGTAGCTAATGTACAAATGACAATAAAGCATGTTGGAGCTATATTTGGCCAAACTTGACCCACTCTACCATGCTGCACTGCGTTATACATCAAATGCACCCTATAGGACTCATCATTGCACACTGTATAGCCTAACTGGATGGTCCTCACTTAGTATGCGTAGGAGCATTGGTTTTTATTAATGTATAAAGCCATTTTAGGTAAGCTTCCACTGTACATATGTGCCAGATTTGCTCCAGTTAGTGACTCTTACAACCTCAGATCCAGTGCCTGGATACGGGTCCAGGTTCCTGCCGTGCGGACTGAGGCTGGAAAAAGGAGTCTTTTTCATTATGGTCCTTGGTCTTGGAATGACCTTCAATCACGCCTCAAACTGAGGGCACTTGTCTCTATAGCCTTTTATAAATTGAAGTTGTCTGAAGTCCTTACCACCAGCTGCTCTTGCAGTAACAAGTACAGGGTGTCCGCGGGGTCTTAAAAAGTATTAAAAGTAGATAAATCAATTTAGCGAAAATTAAGGCTATTAAAAAGTATTAAACAGCATTTCCCAAGGTATTACATTTTGTAGCTAGTTTTCAATAAGTATATAAATTGTCCAAAGAGGTTGTATTCTACAGTCTGCCTGAATGTAATCATTGCGTAGGTGTGTAGTGTGATTCTGTGTAGTTTATTTATGGCATCCCGTTGGATTAGACGTCATCTGAACAGGACATCGCACGCTCACTGCTTGATAGCGCGCGAAGGTCCGTTTACGCCGGTTGTTAAACAACATCGTTATGGGGAAATGCAAGTCTGCGCCCAAATGGTTGGAAGATAAGGAGGAAGGACAATCAATACTGTATATAGTCAATGTGAGGTAAAGTGTGTTGCCAATGTAACCGGTTAAAACTCAAAGTGGCGATGAGGTCTTAAAATGTATGGAAAGGGTCTTAAAAAAGGTCTTGAAAAGTCTTACATTTGACTTCAGGATTCCTGCATACACCCTGAAGTAGTACCTTTCTTACTGTCCCAAATGTGCACAATGTAGTGACTGCTTTTCGTATTTTTTTTGTTTACTTGGTTGTGTTCTCTGTATTTTATATGTCTGTGTTATGTGTAAGAATGTTCTTTGCCAGGTCAGCATTGTGAATGAGATTTTATCTCATCTGCTTAAATAAAGGTTAAATAAATAAAATACTGATCAAATACTGATACTGACTGAAACATTAATTTTCTGGCTGTTTTTGAATATTGTAAGTGTACCTTTTATTTAGTTTAATTGAAGTTAATTGAAGTACCGTAATTTTCGGACTATAAGCCGCGACTTTTTTCCCATTTTTCGACCCTGCGGCTTATATAACGGTGCGGCTAATCTATGGATTTTTACAGCTCCGACGACTTGCTCTGAAAACACGGAGGAGCAAAACAACAAACGAGTGAAACAAAGCGTATATTAAAGCCCGGGAAATATACCCGTTTTGACGCTGTTTCAGGAGCGCCTCTAACATTGTTTTGAAGGCCTGTTGCTAGCGGGGGATGCTAGCGGGGGATGCTAGCGGGGGATCCTCGGGCTAGCCCTGTAGACACCGGGCCGAGAGAGCGCAAGGGACCAGGACAGGAGCTCCGCGGGATAACGACCAGGTTTGACTGACCCTGCCAGTCCTATCTTATAACACAAAGAAGACGTAACCTCTCCTAAGTTTGAAAGTTGAAAAGTTTGTGTGTCTGAAACGCTATGTGATACAGTACAGTTTACACAGTACATGTTCTGTAGCTACTATTGCACTAAATGGTAACACTTGAATACGTTATGCAACTTGTTTGTTGAAATGTTAATAAATGGGAGCTTCCTCAAACAGCCATCTCTTTCCCGACAATCCCCTCTGTGCACGAACCCTTAGATATGGTAATTAAACATTAAAACACCTGCGGCTTATAGTCCAGTGCGGCTTATATATGTACACATCATTCAATTTAGCTGCTGCGGCTTATATTCAGGTGCGCTTTATAGTGCGAAAATTACGGTAGTTGTTTATGCTTTGACTTTCAGTCACGTGCACCTCTGACTGTCAGACAAAAGGACTAGACTCTTGGTCTCCTACCCCCCCCCCCCATCAAAGGCTGCCTTTTGAACAGCAGAACATTACAGACAATCAGTACTAGACCTACACACTCAGTACTGGTCTTACATGGACTTGAGTATACAAATATGCTACGGATGGATGTTATATGTTTTGTTAAAATTACTCTGTTGCTATATTATTATTGGTAATCGCTATGTAATAAGCAATTAGGGGCTGGTATGTTGGAGCCATTTTCATTTAGTTATTATTGTCTGAATGTTAGGCTTAATAATAATAGATTATTTTTGTGAGTCATACTATGGTTTAAAATGTATTAATTTAAGGCTCACTTATTTGTTATGAAATGTGCGTCAGTATCACGTGCATGGCTATATGCCTATATATGGTAGGTTGATAGGACACAGCTGAGGGTGATGAGACGGGGAAGCGGAAAAGTCTTTTGACCGTGTTCTTTTTGTTCTTTTGGAGACTGTTAACTTTTATTTAGTATGAAGCGAAGAAATGTGTCCTGCTGTTTATATGCC